GCTAAGAAAACCCCCTGTATTGCCCGATTGAGAAATGCCTGAGTCCTACACCAACCAGAAGAAAAGATGCCAGGCAATCTGTCTTTGCCCCGACAGGGCTTAGATGAGTCTCCCACGACTTGCTACCGAGCAATACCGGCGTGATAACAGAAGCTCCATTAATCACGTCCGTGTCGTTCCGACGCCATCTTGAAAGTCTCATAGCAACTATGTTATGCCAGCTGTAAGTATTAAGTGCTGTCTAGAGCTTCTTCAAGGGCAAGTGGGAAGCAGCCTTTTAAGCAAGAGCAACAACAGCTTTGACAATAGTCAGATCTGCACTTGCAGCTTCATGTTCATCCATTCATGTGCCAGCAATGGGAAGCTAACAAGCAGCTACAAAACATAACCTTGGTTAGGGTAAAGAAGGTGCCGCTTGCTAGCAGATAAAAGGAAGTCACAAATCATTTTTCAGTCCTTTATGAAGGCCCAAATTAGAACACTTACAATTCTGTGTTCTTCATGTTTCTAGTTTTGAACCTATAGTCAGAAGTCAGAGGAAGATGCCATCACAGAGAGATAGAAGTTACATTAAAAGCGCCTAAAGTTTTTCTGCCTTATGTGGTCTGTCACAGAGAATTCTCAAGACAAAGTATCTGGGGTAGGCACGGGGTGACTGAAGTGGGGGTAGTTGAGCAAAACACCTAGGAAAGAGAGAAAACCAATGAATAAATCTGCTGACTTATGAAAGTGGAAAGGAATTCATGCAGGAAAGAAACCAGGGCGCAATGAGAATGAACTTCAATGCCCAGAGTATGGGAAACAAAGAACATGAACTTGTGCACATAGGACATGAGGGCAATTACAATCTGATAGGAATAACTGAAACTTGGTGGGATGACTCACATGACTGGAAGTCTACAATTGATGGATTACAACCTGTTCAAGAAAAACAGAAAGGGCGAAAGGGAGGTGGAGTTGCACTATACATAAGAGACACCTATAACTCCACAGAAATACAAGAAGAGGAACTTAGTAGCCCCAGTGAAAGCATCTGGCTTAATTTAAAGGGAGCAAAACATAAGAAAAACATAGTTATTGGTGTCTATTTCTGATCAACCAGTGAAAAAGAGGACAAGGACACACCCTTCAAAAATCAACTTGCCAGTGTCCCCAAAAAGAAAAATGTCATAATTTCCCCTGATATATGCTATGTATGCGTGTATGTGCTGGGAGACAATTTCTGCCAAAAATGGCCCCTGCAAGAGGTTCCTGACATGCATTGCTGACACCTTCCCCCAGCAGAAGGTTGAGGAAGGAACAAGAGGACCAGCTGTCCTCAATTTAATACTAACTAAAAGAGATGACCTAGTGAACTGAATAGCAGCCACAGGAACCCTGGGAGGAAAGTGAAAATGTGATACTTGAATTCACAATGATAAAGGAGATAAAGTTTAACTGCAGCCAAACATGTACCCTGGATTTCAAGAAAGCCAACCTTAATGAATTCAGAACAATGATAAGTGAGGTGCCATGGCAACTCTTAAGGGAAAAGGAGTGGGAGTGGGTGAAAAAGAAGAAAAAAAAATCTTGAAAAAGAAGATTCTCCAAGCACAACTACAAACAATTCCAACAAGAAGAATGTGTAGAAGACATCAAAGAAAACTGCAGAAAATTAAGTGACTATCTGAAAGAAAAAAGAACATGTACAGGAGGTGGAAGCAGGGGCGAGCCACAGTTAAAAATATTAACAGATTTCAGGGATGGCATCAGGAAGGCTAAAGGAAGAAATGAATTGAGAATAGTAAGGGATGCTAAGAACAACAAGACAGCCTTCTTCAGGTATATCCTAAACAAAAGATATATGAAAGAGAAAGGTTTGCAGCTGCTTAAAGTGAATGGCAGAGCGATAACAGATGACAAGGAAAAAGTGGAGGGGCTCAATTCCTACTTCATCTCAATCTTCTACCACAAGAAAATCTACAACCAAAAGGAAGCACAAGCTGAAAGTGAGAGCTGGCAGCCCAAGACTGGCAGACAAATGGTCAAGGAACACCTAGATGAAATAAACATATTCAAATCTCCAGGGCTCGATAAACTCCATCCCAGAGTAATAAAAATGCCGGTCACAAAGAGGAAGGTCAGTGGAACCAGCTGCCTAGAGAGGTGGTGAGTGCTCCCACACTGGAGACATTCAAAAAGAACCTGGACAGCCCTCTGAGTGGGATGGTGTGACCTGGTGTCCTGCAACAGCAGGGGGTTGGACTCGATGGCCTTCATGGCCCCTTCCAACTCTTGTATTCTATGGTTCCATGATTCTGTGATCTTTTCCCACATACCAGAGTGTATGACACAGAATAATGAACTCATGTTGCAACAAGCCAGGTTCAGGCTAGATATCAGGAAAAGTTTCCTCACTGTCAGAGCAATATGAAAGTGGAACCAGTCACCTAGAGAGGTCATTTGCTCTCCCACACTAGAGATACTCAAAAACAGTCATCTGAGTTGGATGCTGTAAATTGATGACCTGCCACAGCAGAGGGTTGGACCTGATGGCTTTCTTGGCCCCTTTCAACTCTACTCTTGTGTGATTTTATGAGTCCATTTTCATGCCTTGCACACACTCATAAGCATCCTGATAACGTGCCCAGTCCCCTGGTGGGGGCAAGACTTGCCCAGTCAGTTAGGAAGCGGGAAGAGTACAGAGGCAGCAGGATGCTGTCAAAGTTCCTGGTAGGGGCTCGCAACCAGACTCCCATTTCTTATTTTCATGTCTTTCTCATACACAGTGAGACTGAGAAGAGTGTTTGTGGGGAAGAGCTCGTTAATAAGGCATTTTCCATGTATCACCTGTTCATCCCCTGTGGTAGATATCATGGAAGTAAAGTAAATGGAATTTGCTTTGCAGTAAAATGGTTTATGACCGGGGTGTACAAGTTGTAGGAAAGAGCTTTCTGATAACAGACGAGTCTCACTCCAGAACACTTTTTCTCTTTGGACAGGGAAAGCATGAACACTTAATAATCTCCTTTGCCGTTTGCTTTGCTGTGAAGTTGTAGGAATAACTGTGTGGAAACTGGGTTTAACTCCATGACTTTTGAAGGAGCAGCTGCTATTTCTGTCTCAGATTTATTGTGTGTAAACCCCTGGCAAAACCTTTGTGTGTGTTTATTCTTGCAAAAACACCATGTGTCCCTATCCAGTAATTGCTGGTGTCTCTCTGATGTCTCTCTCAATTTCATCCCACTCCAGCAATTACACAAAGCCATCAAAAACTAAGACAACAAGTATTGCTTTGCTTTAAGCACTGCAGTTCTCATCATTTTCACTCGATTGACAACAATAACAGCATGAGTATGGTTTTGAAAAAGAAACAAACCCAACCCTAAATAATATACCAAGAAATAGAACTGAGCACTTCTCTTTGTCTTCACACCTTTCTGTGATTTGCCAGGTACAGAGTCCTCTTCCTCTTTTAGAGCCTTTTCATCCTGTCCTTTTCCATGCTGCACGGGGGATTTGGGGACAAATGAGACCCTTTGAACTGTATGGGGCCTGCAAACTGGGAGCTTGCACAGGGATTTCTTAATTAGAACCATATTCAAACTAGCTAAAGCACAGGCAAACTCTTTCTTTTCTGTAAAACTACCCTTATCTTTCCAGGGCTGCTTCACCACTGTCTGTAATGGTGCTGCCTGTTTCTCTTGGGGCCTGTAAATGAGAGCATTACTATTACATTCTGCCCTAATCCAAAATAATATCCCAGCAATCTATTTGGAATTAAGACTAAGGGGAAAGGCCAGGCTGTTAGTATGGTCTGATCCAGAGGAGGAAGCTCCTGCACTTTTAGCAGGTGTGTATGGAATTTCAGGTGTCACTTCCCTCATCTGCTCAACCTTTTGAGGTGCAAAATCCCTGCCTTCTTTTCCCATCTGGCCACCCTACAGGTGAAGCTATGGGTTGAGGCTGTCCATCTGTTTTTATTATTTAATTGGGTTTTCTATGTTTCCACTTCAAAAATGCACTCCTCTGATCCCACTAGTTGTTGTTGTTAGTCGTGAAGTCGCGTCCGACCCATCGCGACCCCATGGACAACAGTCCTCCAGGCCTTCCTGTCCTCCACCATCTCCCAGAGTCCACTTAAGCTCACACCAACTGCTTCAGTGACTCCATCCAGCCACCTCATCCTCTGCTGTCCCCTTCTTCTTTTGCCATCTATTGACCACTGCTTTTTTGCATTCAGTCCCCTTTCTCACTCACTACAGATCCTGGTGTATGTTTTTGTTTGTGATGGGGAGGGGGAAGGAGTGTTTTCAGGGCACTGCAAAGCCCAGGAAATTGTGTTCAGCTTCTCCTTTGTCTTTGGCGATTTCATCTGGCATCACCCCCTTTCTATAAGGACTAGAAGCATGCTCTTTTCAACAATCCAAACTGAGATCATAGCTTTCTATATACATTATGTATCATAATGTGATTTATTGTGTTTGTTTTCTGCACTTGCCTGGAATTATACACAGCCCTAAGTATGGATCGGTCTTGTCATGGAGTGTATCCCTGTAGCTCTTGCTTAATTCTTCCTGACTTCTCAAAGCTCATCTTCACTAATGAATGCCAGCAGTAAAATTCCCATTTACATAGACAGTTGTTCCTGGTATTCCCTACCGAGACTTTCTGTTGTATGGGTGCTGCTTAATGTATGCACATTTTCTTTTACTGGACCAACTACAGGTTAAAGTCATTCAAGTTTCTGAATTTTAAGTGATGGCCTTCTGGCACTGGCATTCAGAACAAGAATAAAATAGTAGCCTGCACATGTTTAAAAGTTTGCAGTTAAGAGTTGATCTGACTGGAGGGAATGGGGACAAGACTTCCACTTTTGTTTGAATCCATTCCTTAACACTAAATTGTCGGCAGAGTTCTTAGCGATAACCTTAGCAACAGGTTGGCTTATGTCTTGTTATCCTCCAGAGTGGGGTGATAGTGCAGCTGCTGTTCTGATTTAATATTTTCTTTCCCTACAGGAAGCAGAGAACACCTTGCGTTTGATGCAGAACAAGCTGAAGGAGGAAGAGAAACGTTTGCTGAAGAGTAGAAGTGAGCTGTTTTGTTAACCTTTTCATGTGTTGGCAGATCTAACATCCAGGGCTGCCTGCCCCATTAGTGCAGCTGTTTGGAGCAGCAGCAAGAAATCAGTAGACAGGGGATCTAAGCGCATAAGAAGAGCCATGCTGGGTCAGAGCAGGGCCTCTCTAGTCCAACACTCCACTCCCACAGTAGCAAACCTGCTGCCTGCAGGATTCCTGAAGGAGACTTGGAGTGCAGACACACCCTCCTGCCCACATTCTGCAGCAAGTAGAGCAAAGCTCGCATGGTTCTCTGCGCCTGCATCATAGTCCCGCCTCCCAATTGTCCATTTCCAAGTGGGAACAGGAAGCCAGGCCTGTGCGTTGTCCCTGGCCCTTTTCTGTGGGGGGAGCTGGGAAATCCCAATTGCTTCATGCGTAAAGATCCTGTTGCCACCCTGACTGCTGGGACCTAGAGACAAGCCCTCCTATTGCTGGGAATACACAACCCATGCTGGCTTCGGCATTGTGGTATCTAAGACATTAGCCACCCCTGGGTGAGGGGTGGAAATGCCATTGCATTTTACTGCTTCTCCCTGCTGTGCATTTTTTGTAACAGAAAAGGTGGCCAACTACTTGCCTGACTCCTTTTAATTTGGCTGATATCCAGCCTGTGCCTCATCTTCTCCTCAATCCAGATGAGCAGAGGCTGTCTTCTGTTGTGTCAGACAATTTGTCTAGCTCAAAGTGATTCACCTGGACCGATGGCAGTTTTCTAGGGGGTGTAGTTCTGATGCCTGTTGTATCTAATTTGTCACCAGAGACTGAATTTGGGATCTTTTTCTTAGAAAGTGCATGTCATACCACTGCCTTAGGAATTATGTCTATGTTCATGTGAGAGAGACATTCCACACCTCTCTAGGCAACTGGATCCACTGTTTTAGTGCTCTGACAATGAGGAATCTTTTCCTGATATCTTACCTGAACCTGGGTTGTCGCAACCTGACTTGATTATTCTGTGTCCTGCACTCTGGTATCAGTGAGAAGAGTTCTTGACCTTCCTCTTTGTGACAGCCTTTGAGGTACTTATAGAGGGCTATCATTTCCCCCTCAGTCTTCTCAAGGGTGAACTCTCTTCAATTCTCTCAGTCTTTCCTCACAGGGCAGTATTTCCAAACCCTGGATCATTTTTGTTGCCCTCCTCTGGACCATTTCTAATTTTTCTGCATCTTTCTTAAATCTTGGTTCCCAGAAGTAGACACAGTATTCCAGATGAAGTCTGACTAGTGAGGCATATAGGGGAACTGCTACTTCTCATGATTTGGAAGTAATACTTCTAATAATGCATCCCAAAATAGCATTTGCCCTTTTGCAGCTGCATCACATTGTTGGCTCATATTTAGCTTGTTGTCCACAATAACTCCAAGGTCTTTTTCTTTCTCATTTCTTTCGAGCCCCATGTACTCCCATCTGGTATCGATGCCTCTGGTTTCTTTTCCTAGCTGGAGGGCTTGGCACTTGTCCCCAGTGAATCTCATTCTGTTGCTTTCAGCCCAGCTTTCTAGTTTATCAAGATTGCCCTGGATCTTCTTTCTGTCTTCCAGGGTGTTTGCTAGGTTTCTTACATTATGGCTGTCCTGCTTGCGCTGACAAAGAAACCAGCTGCTTTTCAGTTTGTCTTGCCATTTATCCCGAAAGTGACTTGGCTCTTCAGTAGCCAATAGAGAAAACTAACCACCACCACTTAAAAATCACCCCAGTCTTTGCTATTTTCCCACCTTGAGAATGAAAGAATCACCCTGCTGGACGAGACCACGGGTCCATCTAATCCAGGTTCTTCCCTTAATGTGCTCCGCAGTGACTAGTAGCCCATGGCACACTGCCTTGAAAAGTGGATATTTCACAGGGCCACCATGGTCAGTCGCCACCTCTACAATGATGGCTGCAGGGATCACCAGAAAGTGTTCAAGTAGCCTCTGGAGTTTTGTTGCAAGGACCACATTGTGGTTCCAAGTTTTCCACACCCCTGGGGAATGTATGAACAGTGTCTTTGAGAACATATTTAAAAATCATTTCCAGTTGCGTGGCAGCTTCAAATAGATCATTTGAAAACATCTCTGGAGAAATAGACATTCTTTTGCCAGGGATTTTTTTAAAACAGGGAGAAGGGAACACTAGAAGAATGATCAGTTCCATACGTGCCTGTATATCAGTGGGAAGACACACTGCTCCATTCATCCCAGAAATGCATGCTGACACAGTGTGCTTTTAATGTAGGCCTGGATTTAGGAGTCCAGGAAGGAGCAAATGTTCCAATTGAGAGTGGGAGTGATGTCAGCTGACCATGCTAACTAGGAGCCTAGAGGGCAGAAACAGTGCAGACAAGAGCAGCAGGTTGAAACTAGCTCAGCAGGGGCTAAATAGCCATGCTGCACCGCTTACCTTTGAAAGGGATGCTACTCAAAGATATTTAATAGAAAATATCTATTAAAGCTGCATTAGGTTCCACCCATGCTGATTAAAAGTAAAGCAAGACACGTGATTCTAACTGGTGTGCTTAGCTCGTCTGCTGTGGCTTTAGTTGTTTTATAATTTTTATTTGATATACAGAAAAATGAAAACCAAAACCAAAAACATGCAATCACACAGCAATAACCAGAGATGTGTTAAACTGATCCTGAAAGTATTATTAAGGTCAGGGCCTCCTTTACCAGAAAAGGTAAAATCAAAGAAATAACAGTGAACAGCAACTGCTAAGGTAGGCACCCCCAAAAAACCAGATGAATGAGCTTGGGAGTGCTCTTTCCTGAAAATAATTGTATTTCACCACCCTAGTGTGTCGCTCTTTTCCTCTCACTGTAGTGACACATCTCTGCGTGTTCTGTTGATGGTATTTTCTCACAGATCTGATATGGGCTTGTTCCAGGTGATGGCAAGGACTGCACTTATGCATCTATTTTGTGGACTCTCGTCCGTATCTGCCTTGTCTGAAGAAAGCCAGTGCTCTGCTCTGTATAGCTGCGATTTTATCTGTATAAGGAAACTTGGCCATCTGAACGGTCAGATATAAATTAGCAGGGGTGGCTGTGCTCGTCTGCTGAAGCGAAAACAGATGCCGTCAAGACTAAAGGGTTTATTCAGGCATAAGCTTTCATGCACACTTTCCACTTCAGCAGATGGCATGAATGTCAACCTCAAATAGGAAACTTCATAGACTTGTGTTGAGGAGGGAGACATATAAATTGTTCTGCCAAAGGGAACTGAAACGTAAAGGTACAGACAAACAGCAATCCGCAGGTTTCTTTGAGGGAAGTCTTAACCAATGAACTGATAGCCTTTTGGAGAGATGGATTTTGTAATCAGTCCACAGCCCATTTCTGTACTGATTGCATTCTGTATCCTATGCAGCACAGCTTTTAAAGCAGTCTGATGAACAGCTATCCAGCCCATGTAAAGCTCTGGCTATGGTGTCTGTTCTGGTAGGCTGGTGATTCTCAGAGTCCCTTCACTGTTTTTTGAGAAGGGCATAATAATCAGTAATATCCTCTACCTACAGGAGGCGAGGCAGGAAACAGCTTGGGAGGTCCTTCTGGCATATTGTAAAGGCCGAATGGAGCCAGAGGTGTCAGTGTTAGGAACGGGTAAACATCTGCATGTGCGTTGATGCAGGTCAGCTGGACAACAAACACATTTTATGTGTGCCACCGCGCACCTTGGCTCCTCTTGGTAAATGACAGGCAGGCATGATTGGAAGAACAGTCTGTACTAGCGAAGCTTTGGTAAGTTGAATCGCTTGTGATCATCATTGCTGAGATTCTACACGGGTATCGCCCAGCCTCTCTCCACCTTCTGGCTGTATAAAATCAGATGCCTGGGAATAAGAGATCTGAGATTGGGAAAGGAGGCTCCTTTGCTGGACCATATTCTCCCATTCATTATTCTGCATGGACTCTGTCACACATACTGGGCTCTGCACATGCACAGAGGCCTGCTTTAGGGAACTTCTCTAGCTGAGGATATGTTCGTGGCTCCCACACTACCCCAGTTTGTGTACCGCTAGTGGGGTTCTCCTTCCTTCCTCTGTTCTCTTTCAGGAACCACTCTGGTAGCCTCTTTAGGGAAACCTTTTGTGTTCGGTCCGAGGGAAAACATTTTGCACAAGCTTTTCTTCTCTCTCTCTTTCTTCTACTTACCTTTCTTCATCATTTTACTTCATTTTATTATTATAGCTTCACAGTCTAGTAAGAACATTTAGCCCTCAATGGCATTTAGCTGTCTGGACTCCGTTTTGGAAGCTTGCCCTCTGTGGCAGCGAATTAACTCTGACCTCTTGAGATTCCCTGTGCCTTTTTTGCCTCAGGGAAGGGCAAAAAAGGTAGGGGCTTTCATGAAACGTTTGTGAAGGAACCAGTTGGATAGGCTGCGCACCATTCTTTGGAGACAGGCACTGGCAGTCCATGGAGGTGCAGAGGAGGCACTGGCTAAGCTTTCTTCTGCTGAGAGTGTGCCTGACTGATCACAACCTTATGCAGGTCCATCCCAAGAGGCTTGGTCTTGGATACCAGATTTACCTTTTGATGGCCAAAGTCTTTTCAGTTCTAAGACTAACAAAACCATGGATTTAGTTCAGAAGGTGCAGAATATGGCACGCTGCACTGGAGTCAGCCAGTTGACGCTATGCAAGCAGTGCTACCTGTATCATTCCCCTGTGTTGCAGTGTCCCTGCTGGCAGTCAGATTCCGGGCAAGCATCTTGACCGCAACCTCCTGTGCTAAGAAAGCAGCTCTCCTTGGTCAGGTGTAAGAGCTTTGGCCACAAGGGCCACAAATGCCACCTTTGATTCTCCCCCTCTATTTCCTCATCTATTTGCTCTACCTCCTGTCTTTAGAACTCGCTTCTCTACTTGTGTGCTAGCCTGCTCCCTCATCCTGAGGGCTTTCAAGTTTAAGTTCAATGCTTGGGATATTCCAGTGGGTGTTATTCCCAATATTTCAAAGCCCCAAAAAGAGACTGAGAATTGCACCTGCTCCTGAATCTGTGAGACATCAGCACGCTGGCATCACTGAGGGGAGGCTGCATCTGCAGTTCCCTTTTGCAGTGTAGCACCCTGGTTGAGGCTCATTCGTTGCGTTGGGACTGTCAGCTGAATGTTCCAGCTTGAACTGACTGTTCTTCTGGTCATGCCATCTGCTTTTCTGTGTTGCAGTAGAACCAGACCCTCCTCCAGGAGCCAGCCGCTTACCTGTGTGTGATGCATACTTTACTTTAAAGCTCTTTATGCCTATTGATAAGGCTTAAGAGAGACGTTTCTCCCCTTTAGAGTTGGGGTGTGTGCAGGGAGAGACAACTGCAGAAAAGCTAGGAAGCCACCAAGCGACAGGTGGTTGGAAGAAATCCCGAAAGCCAATTGGAGCACTAAGTGGCCCATATTTTAGTCTGTAGGTTAGGATTTTAGGCCTAACCCTAACCCTAACTCTAACCCTGCAGTATTTTCCACTCTAGCATTTCCCAGTCTGGTAGCTGGCCAGGAATGAGGGAAGCTTCAGTTGGGGCATCTGGAGGACGTGGGGCTGGGAAAGACTGGTCTGCTCCAGCCAGCAGCCGCTCCCCAGGTTGCCAGCGGCAAGGCTTTTTCTCAGGACTCTCACCTGAGAGGCTTTTACATGGAGATGCCTGAGATCGCCTGCCTGCACAGCGCATGCGGTCTGCTGCTGAGCTTTGGCCTCTCCCCTGCCTGTCAGGCCATGGTCATTCCTAAATGGACACAAGAAGCAAAGAGAGTTGGAGAGGTGGGTCTGACAGCCTGGGCACACTTAGGGTTATTAACTCTTGTGTGCATGCTTGCTTTTCTACAGCTAACAATGATTCAGACATCGAAATCCATGAGGATGAGGGATCCGACAGTGAGATGGAGGACAGGCAACTGATGAAGCAACATGCGGCCATGGAGATGCTGATGCAAGGTACCACCCCCTGCTCTTGCAAACGCTTTCCTGCTGGGGCACAGTAATTCTCTTGCACACGCCATGTGGCAGCAAGCATGGGCCGTGCAGGAGGTGTTGCTCCAAACCTTCAAAGGTCTACCTTCATGGCTGTGAGACTACAGAAGCGCTTTTAAAATGATGAAAACAAAGATTTCCAGGACATTGATGGCACCAAATGCATGCATGCACAGAGTGCTGGAAGGTACTTAGTCCCAGCTTTAGAGTTCATATCTTAGGCCAAAATGGTGCCGTGATGGCTGTCCTCTCAGCCCAGCTCATTTCTGGGCCTTGATGGAAGAAAAGTATCCGGGGAGAAAAACATCAGTAGGAGTGCTGCATTTCTCATCTGCAGACCGGGAGATCCTTAACCTCCTAAACTCTGATCCATCCCCCTTTTACAGCAGATTCTGGTTCAAACACACATCTGTTCCAGCTTGACCTTTAGAAACACAGTAATGGGCCTGCTCCCTGGCTTCAGAGATTGTTGTTTTCCTACTGCCAGTACTGAGGGAGAAGCAGCAATCTTGGTGGCAATTGCTGGGACAGGGGAGAAACGTTTGTTAGTAGACAATTCAAAAACCTCATAGTTTTTAAAGCAGCAGGTTGACAAAATCTCTGGGGGTATGATAGCGGCAAGGAAGCTGCTGGCAGCTTGCGTGCTTCTTTTGTTGGATCTTGTCCCTCTTCCTCTGACCCCATGTTTAGATTTATTGCATGTTTCCCATTTCTTTGCATCCCTGGAAGAAAGCAAAGCACAGTAGAGATACTCAGCTGGATAGCTGAATTTCAGTACAAGCTGGAGAGACATGGGACCAGGTCGGGTGTTCTTGTTTTCTTGTCTTGCTGTTGCTTGAGGCCAAGGCACAGAGCTCGCTTTGGTGGGCTGCACAGCAGAGAGGGCAGTGCTGGATGTGAGCGTGAAGGCTGAATGATCCCGCAAATGGCATGCCATGTACACGGCAGAATGCAGGGTGTCTCTTTCCAAAGAGCAATGCAGTTTGGGGCTGGCAGAAGGGGAGTGTTGAGTGCCAGACTCAAAGCACGGCCTGTGAAAGTTGCTGCAGCCTCTGCTCTTTCGCCTTCCCCACCACTGGCCAGCTTCTCCACTCAGTCCTAAATTTCCCCCACTCCCTCTCTTTTAGTTGCAGGGATTCTGTAAATAGATTTTTAAAAGCTTAGTCAAAACACGTCCGCATCCTCCTCCTGTTTGCTTGCACTGATACTGCACAACCCAGCCCCACTGCCCTTGTGCTGCCCACAGCTCTGCTGCCCCCCCCCCCAGCAGCTTCCAGGGGCTGTGGAAGATGGTCTGCAGGGCTGTCAGGGGCTTCTCAAGAGGTTTTTGCAGTGTTCGTCAGGCAAGTGGACGATGATGCATCTGGCTCATCCTCTGTTGCAGATGAAAGTAACTACAATGGCATCCAGTGCCAGTGTTGGAAAAGCGGCCGAGGAGAAGAGCTCCTGGGCCGCTGCACTACTGGGGGGAGCCATGGGGTGGGGGCTGCTCGCCCCTGCACCCTTCCTTTTTAATTTTAAACCTCCCCCCCACAACTTGCTTCACAATCGGAGCAGTTTGTTCGCACGGGAGCTGCAATCTTGTTGTTTAGGGCGCAACCATTTCATTCTCATGAGAATCATGAGAATTTTGTGGAGGAGAATCATGTAAGCCACACTGAGTACCTTGAAAGAGAAGAAGTCAGGGAAATAAATAAATAACATTTCTTGTGAAAGTGGCTTTGAAAACAATGGAAATTTCTTGGGACGTGCACCTGATTGAATACCAGCAAATTCTTCATTTTATGCACTGGGAGCATGATAAGCTTCCTGTGCACTAGCAAAAAACACAGAATTAAGACTCAAATGGCCTCGATAGGTTTTTGCTCCCATCTCCTCATATCTGTGGTCTGTCATAAACCTTTCCTTCGGCAACTTGCTTAAATCCACACTTGGCTGCAAGCAGGGTACTTCGGCCCATCTGTATTGCTGTAAATCTAACCACATTTAAAGCTTCCTGTTGCAGAATTGGAAAGCAAAAGCACTGAAGGGGCCATGGTGGAGCTATCAGTTTGTGCGCTGCCTCATTTGGCCCCCTCATCTCTGGCTAAACAGGCTTTTGACTTGCTGCGAAACATGCAGAAACCTGAATGCAGGGATGCCAGTGGATGAGCAGAGCCAGAGGGGCCTGGGCATCTCTCCGGCTATCACCCGTCCCCCAGCAACGGTGTATGTACAGCTGTACCCTCACGAGCCACCTCTTTCCTGCAGGGAGGCCAAGCAAGCGGATTGTCGGAACGATGCAAGGCGGAGACACGGAGGATGACGTAAGTAGCGGTGGACACTGCTGGCAACAGGGGCCGCTGTGGGCCTGGCAGAGTTTCTCATTCAGGAATAAGGGGCCTGCTTCTTCAGGCATACCTGTCTTACTGCACCATCTGTCTTCTGCTCTTCCTAAAGCTCCCACTCCCTCCATGGTTTATCTTCTTTGCCGCTGACGCCTCTCCATGTTTGTTTCCCCTTCCTGCTGCAGTAGCAGCCATTGTGTTGGGTTACTAAAACTGCAGGTCGGAAACAATGCTTTTTGAGGATTCCTGGGCAAGACTGAGACTCTTCTGGTCATTATGTCATCACCATAATCCCATCATCTTCTAAAATTTACTTTTGGTGCCTAGTAATTGTTTTATTGCTAAACCGGCTAGGCTGTGTTCACTGTTGAGGACAACCGTTTTCCCACTGAGATATTGTTCAGTCGTATGAGGCGCTGTGTGTCTTAATGTGCTATCGCAAAGAACTGAACCATTGCAAATGTCGAACATGAGGATGCTGCCAACCTGTCCCCTCTCTGTCTCCCCATTGACATTTAGCTAAAGAGAAGGCATGGCATGACATACCAGGCTCAGCGTTTTCCAGATTCTCCTGCAGTGGAATTTGGAATGTGTCCTGTGTGTTCATGATTAAGGTGTTAGTCCTCTTGGATATTTTAACATGTGTCTTGCCAAAGAAAGCCTTTTTGCCTCCAGATGGATTTGTGGTTCTGTTTTCAGTTTGTTTGGCTTCTAGGCTTTTATAAATCCAGCCATCTGTCAGGCATCCCCCTTCTGTCTTATCTGACCATAGACACATTCTCAAAAAGATGCCTGATTTTTAGTTATGGAGAAGCCCAGTAGCATCCCGGCTCTGCTCCTCAAGATGCAGCCTTTTCCTGTTTAGAAGCTGTGATTCGCTTTTAAAAACTCATCATGCAGGTCACCTGGACACAGCACTGCATGAGAGCAAGGAAGGCAAATGCAGTTTTAAGCCAGTTTACCGACATGCAGCAGCCACTCAAAACTCTGCATTAACTGGCTCCATGTGGCGGCTGCATATTTGAAAAAGAGAATGGGCCATACTTGTTTCAGGATCAGTGTTAATTGGATGTGTTCTGCTTTCCAGTTAGTGCTAGCATGGTGCTGCTCTGTCAGAGGAGGCAGTCTTTGTATTTGAAATCCTCCCTCCACTTGGCAAAGCCAGTTGTGGACCATGCCATTCTTTTGCCACTCTTCTTCCAGTGCGAAAACCCCTGCCTACCTGCCGGCAATAGTTTACGACAGGGTTAGCAGCCCAGCGAAGACGGAGCAGCCTCCAGGACTGTGTTTTGTAAACTGGCCTCTGCTCCCCCGGCCATCTGTCCGGTCTGCACTGTTGTTGAGGCCTGTATGGGCACCACTTGCAGTGGCCTCTGGGATGCTGCTGGGAGCTCACCCTCTCAAGGGAAGACTTGATGAACCTGGCAGCTTCAGCTGCCCCCTGGCAGGCCACGGAGCCCTTTGTGTGGCCCCGACGCCTCAGTCCATCTTGCGGCCTTCCCCTTCCTTGCTTGGAGTCTGGCCCCATTTCCACAGTTCCTCATTCACTTCCATTTTGCAGGACTTGCTGTTTTCATTTCTTTCTCTGCTCTCTTTCTGCTTCCATCTCGTGTTACCTCTGCATGCTGCTTGCTGCTCCTTCGCCACAGGTCGGGGCAGCCCAAGTCCGAGCCAGTAAACACCGTGCCTCCAGAGCCAAGGCCAAGGTGGGTGGGTGTGTCTTTTGTCCGTGGTGCTCTTTCTCCATAATTCCATGCCGGCATGTCGGCGTTCCTCACAGTCCTGGCTGTGGCCCGCTTGTTCTGCGGCAGTTTCTTTAGCAAAGCCGTACCGTCAGTAGGAGGCAGTGACAGAAGTGAGCAAGTAACAGGCGATGGGCAATAATGGCGTACAGATGGAGGCACCAGCAGGTGCTGCAAAGCCATTTTGGGAGGCTGTTCTCTGACTGCTCTCAAGGATGGGGGCGGGGTGCTACTTCACACCCAGTTCTAGAATTGAGGGCAAGTAGCAGCCAGGTTAGAATCAAGGAACAAAACTTCCTAAGTGTGTTGAGAAAGCAAGAAAATCTGTTTATGCTTAGGGTTATATTTATTATAGAATTTTCACATTGGCTTCTTTAAGGAAGGGCCATGCTCAGGTTCCTTCACAGAAACTGCCTCCACCCAATTTTCAAAGATTTGCTGTGCTTCACTTTCAAACCTCTCAGTCCTCATGGAAGACTTTGAGAGAGCACAGAGGGCAGGAAAGCCCTGTCACACTCTGGATCTAAGCTTGCGTTTGTTTGAGTTTAAGACTGTTGATTTTACTGATATCCATGCTTAGTTAATCAACCAAAATGGGTATTATTTATGGCCAGTGGCCTACCTCTTAATTGGATTGTTGAGCTTGATTTAATTGACTAATAGCTCTTATGTTACTGTTGCTCCATTATTGCTGTGTTCTGCTTATGTGCACCTGATTGTTCTCTACCCCAAGCCTTTTGGAAGTTGGCAGATTTTAAAAACTAAAAATCCAGATCATAACCAAACGAAATGTCTCCCTGCAGGAAGACTCTGAGGACAGTGAAATTGATCTGGATGATGATGAGGATGATGAAGATGACGACGATGACTTGGAAGATGACAGCATCGACATCTGTCCTGACAAGGCCAGTCGGCGGGTCAGGAAGCCCGAGCCGCTGGAGGAGAGTGACAATGACTTCTGAGGAGACTTGGGGAGAGGGAGTAGCCACGGCATCTCCTGAGATAAATCCCAGGGAGCCCACAGAAGTGAAGAAGTCAACCCCTTCCACTCATATAGTGCTTATTCTAAAGGGAGGTTCTGTTGATAGCAGTGAAAACAATCGAAGCAGTAATATATCTTAGAGCTCAGTGCAGCCAAACTCCTTAGCTGTTATTCATGAAATCTGGCTTGCTTTGGAAAGAGGCCAAAGCTGAGGGCAACTGAATGATCGTTGCTTGAATGCTCTGAAGTTCCCCTGTGCCAAAAGTCTTAAGAGCTCCTAGCAAGAAAAATATGTGCACACATGCACACAACCCCAGTTATGCTCACAGTCTAGTAGCAAAACGTGGGTTAGACTCCAGGGAAAAAACCCTGACCCTTTTTGATACAAGCATGTTTTTACATGGTTTATGGATCATTCACCTTAACACTTTTTACTTTTGAGTTCTCTGGACAAAGACTGACTCCTAAACGACCAGCCAAAGTGCACCATTATCGGCAGAGAAGGAGCCTCTCCTTTTGTCGGAGACTCAGGCCAGCTTCCTCAGCAGCTCAGCCAAAACCGGTATTTCCATTATCAGGTGATCAGACTTGACTAGGCTGGCACGATTCCTTTGATAATTCTGGGGCTGTTTCCTTCCTTTAAACGTGGTTAATCTAGACTCAATTTCTTGCCCATGGGTCCAAGAATGGAATGCACCGAGAGTTAAGCAGACTCTGGAGAGAACAGGAAATCCAGGGAAGACAGATTTGGACTTAAAACAGTTTTTATTGCTTAAAAATAATTTAAAAGAAATAGACACTTTGTTTTGTTATTCATAGCCAGCAGGTTTGATTGAATATTTTCATTACAAACCTACCAATGTCTGGATGCCTCTGTAACTTTGGAGATATTTTGGAACATCCTGGCCTATAATATGAGCAAGCGGGACCCATTGTACCTGTTCTGTACTGAAGAGTCTTTGGTTACTTGTGTCTTGCAAGCTGTACTTTTTTATTCAGAGGTGTTCTCAATTTCTCAGACAGTTACATTCCCATTTCACAAATAAATGTCTCTCCCCCCACCCACCCCCACCCTTCTTTCTTCGTGTGACATTTTTGATGCTTTGTATGTTACCTGCTGTCAGCAGTTACAGATTAACTACTCTCTTCGGCCAAGATGCAGGTCAATACATCAGCCACCTTTTAAGTCTGCTGTGCGAAAGAGGCACCCGAGAACCTCCTCTGTAGGCACGATGTGCAGAAGAAAGATACCTTGAGGGTGGGCCACTCCTGTCCACAGCCACCGTTGGCCTAGGCCACACCCCCACCTCGGACTGTCCGGTACAGCAGCCTGTTGCTCCCTGAGGATCTCGCCTTTCACGGCACGTCTCCAGCCCAAAGACCGGGCTGGAGGAAGATGCAGCATCCGAGCTCCCCGACCACCTCCAGCAGAGCCCTCCTCACGTCTCTACAACACAGTCGGGGGCATTTGTTCTGATGGCGTCAGCAATCACTTTGGCTCCGGACTCGCCAATTCGATTTCCTTGTAAGCTGTGCGAGGGGACAGAAAGCACCTCTTAGCATTGTGCCCACTCTGTGGCCCTTCTCAGGACACATTATCCTGGTTCAGGCAGCACAACAACCCACCATGGGCGATCAGCTGTGATGAATGGTGTTGTAACCTGAACTCGACATTGCTTCAGTAGGGTGGCTCATTTTTCCTCAAACGAGCTTCCCTGAAAAGCCCGTGGCTTCTTTTGAGGTACTTCGTACTCACAGTAGCCTCTCCTGTCATCCAAGTCAGGCAGGGCGGTTTCATCACGGATGGTTGAAAAGGGGCACATTTTCTTCCCCACTTGTGAACCAGCTGCTTGTAATCTACCCAGAGAGCTTGAAGGAGTGTGCAGGGCTGCCTAATTTAGTTTTTGTCCTCACTGTGTCTTGCCTCCACACCTACATCAAGGTTTCTGAAAGGCTTCTGAAGAAGGAACCTCTATTTTTTTAACCAAAGTAGTGTAGACAATGGTTTGACTCTTGATCTTGTACAAGCCATTAAAATGATCTGGTGTGCAAAATGTCCATTCCTTTGTGCACTGGATGCTTACCAAGATTAATGCACACACCCTTTTGTGACATATCTCAACTGCTCGCTTGTTCTTCACTAATAAACTCTGCCCCAGTCTCCTCTCCACAGTGCCCTTGCCTGGGTGTGGGAACCTGTGGCCCATCATCTGCCCCCTCCCCGCTCCAGAGCTGGGGGCCAGTAAACCCACATCTGATGCAGCATTTCCTTCCAGGCACCTGCATATCAGAGCAACTTTGCTTAGCGTGGTGCATTTTTCACCATACTCCCTTGTGGATCCTGCAGTGGAGGCAGACACCAAGGCAGCAGCCCCACTTTCCAGACCCCGCCACAGAAGCACCGCAGAAGTGGGGCTGCACCGAGCCTGCAGTCCTGCCTGAGCAGGAGTCAGTCCACCACTGGCAGGAATGAGAAGCAACTCAGCACTGTCAGAGATGAGTCCAGATGTGCAGGCAGAGCTGCAGAGTGCCAGGCATGGTCCTCTTTCCCCACGGTTCTCTTACGTTGCTACAAGACTCTGTGCCCTCTCCTTCCCCCCAGTACTTCCTGGCCTGCGGGTGGGGGAAAGCTACAGAAATCACAAGTGCCATGCACAGTATCGCTCTGTGGAAAGCTGGCAACTACCCTGCTTGGTTGGAGAGACAAGGCAACGGGCTCTGCTGCTGGGCTTGGGATTGCCTTCCCCCAGTCAAGGATCAGCCCACGAACACCACCTCGTTTCCACCCCATGATTCCTCGTTCTTACTGCCATCCACTGCACAGCACGCTCTACCAAGCCCAAGCCACACAGTACCCTGTCTGCAACTACTGCAAGAGACTCGCAGCGCTCTTCCCTGCCCCACAAAGATACCTTTTGGCACCCCACGGGTCTGTCCTGCTGGCCCTGCAAGCAGCCTGCTCCACGGCTGTGTCTAACTCGCCAGCCACATGTTCCCTGCATCCAAGCAGCCCGTTGCAGGAAAGGCGTCCTGGCCCTTCAATATGCAGCACGAACCCAGAATTCTGGTTCTGTGGCACATGCATGGATGTGTTGGATGCCCTAGGCTGTGTTTGTGGTGGCCAGGCTCCACCACACCCTCCGTTGTCAAAATTGGTGGAGGGCCCTTGAAGACCACTCGGATTCACCCTTTCGAGACAAAACATGTTGGCTTACTTGATGTAGGTCAGGCTGTGGCTCCCTGTCAGGGCTGTGGCAATGCAGATGGCCCCGTCCATGCCCAGAGCGTTCTCTTGGAGGCTGCGAACAGGAGGCCAAGCACACACAGCCTTAATTCATACGCAAGGCCTAAGCATGTTTCATTTTATGTTTATCATTCAAGATCTATTATTGGTCTCCAAAGACCTATGCCTGGAAAAGCTATTTTTACAAGACTAGTTGAGCCACAGTGGCGTTCTTCCAATTTCTCCCCAAGCACTGGAAGGAGTGCTGGGGAGGAGAGGAGGAGAGGCCTGTCATCTTTGGGAATAGCCAGCCTTGGAACAGCATCAATCCCAAAAGCAACGGCGAGCCCCGCAGCTCTCCAGGGCTGCTTCTTGCCAGCCTTGAGCAAGGTTCGGGCTTTGTTCATTATGGCTGGATTTCAGGTGCATTTCAGCCTGTTTCCAAGCAGAGCCTATAACAGTGCAGTCCTAGAGGCTGCTCTTCCAATAGCTGAGTGCTCTGAATTTGGGCCACAGCACTTTCATGCCGTGCTGACAGGAGAGCAGAAGAGGTTTGCGATGGCTTCTAGCTCTGTCCCTTTGTTTGAACTGCAAAGAGCAGTGCGATGGGCCCAGCTGACTGACTTTGTATGGGCATGGGCAGATGATTTGCATCCCAGCTTTTTCCCTCCCGGCTTCATCAGCAAGCCATTTTTCTCTTGCTCAGATTTTTCTTGCAAAGAAGGGAAAGGGGAAGGAGGCCCAGAATCCAATCTCTTGCATACTCCTAGCTCTCTCCATAGACCCAGAGGAAGAATCAAAGAACAGTAGGGTTGGAAGGGGCCAAGAAGGCCATCGGGTCCCACCCCTGCTGTTGCAGGACACCAAGTTGCACCATCCCACTCAGAGGGCTGTCCATGTTCTTTCTGAATGTCTCCAGCGTGGGAGAGTCCACCACCTCTCCAGGCAGCTGGTTCCAGTGTCATATTCCTCTGACAGTGAGGAACCTGCCTGATCTCTAGCCTGAATCTGGGTTGTCACAACTTGGGTTGATTATTTTGTGTCCCACAATCGGCATCAGTAAGATCTTGACCTTCCTCTGGTCGCAGCCTTTAGGGTACTTACACAGGGCTATCATGTCCCCATTCAGCCTTCTCTTCTCAAGGCTGAACATGCCCAGTTCTCTCGGTCTTTCCTCACAGGGCAGTGATTTGAAATCCTGGATCATTCTTGTTCCCCTCCTCTGGACCCTTCCTAACTTTTCTGCACAGCATCCCATGGCACTCACCCAGAGCAACAGCAGTGCCCTCGGTGCCAAAGGTTTGGGGCTCAGCAGGACCTGCAGCCACTCGCAGTGGCAGGCAAGCACCTCCCCCAGTAAAGGAAACCTCAAGCAAGAAGGCCCATTGTTCTCTTTGAATACCACAACAGCCCAAGTCCATCACAGAAACATTTCCATCGCTCTAGCCTTCCTGGACCAAGTGCTTGTCTGCAGCTCCCATCATTCCCAGCCAGCGAGGGAGTTGTACACAAAACTCATCTGGAAGATCCCTGGTCTACTTACTTGAGCTTGCGAAGGGTGCCATTGACTTTCAGGGCACTGGCCATGGCCTTGGCTCCTGACAATCCGATGGTGTTTCCCCTCAAGCTGGAAGGAGGCATGCAAAAGAATCGCGAGGTTAAGCTCATGAGTCTGACATGCAAAGGGTGCAGTGGTTTAGCCCAAGGCCGGGGGCAGAGAGGGGAAGCAGTGCAAGCCAAGCTGGGATCCAGCCATTGCTTATACCGACCTGCCAAGACCCGTAAGCGCTAACTTTGCTTTCCACATGGAGAGGACTCGGCAATACTCACTCTAGCGTTTCGAGTCTTTTGTTAATAGCCAAGGCTTCTCCCAAGGCTCTGGCCCCACTCTCGCCGACCAGTGCTGCCTGGAGGCTGAGACAAAACGAGATACGTCGGGGGCGATTCGGGCCGTGCGAGCGCCACCTTGTTTGTGCCGGGGACAACAGGGCAGAGTGAGGCGAGCCACGCCACCCTTCCCCTCTGGGTGCCCCCTGCTCTTCTCTGGGGACAGCAGCAGCTGGGCATGCATCCAGACGTCTCCTCTGCCCCCTGTGCAGCATCCCTGTGCCGTTCCAAGACCCGCACATGCCCCACCTGTGGGCCCAAAGCCACGGCACTCCTGTCCCGCCCAGGTTTGGTCCGGGGCCGGGCAGCGCTGGCCCACCTCCCCAGCCTCACCCTTCCCCTGAACAGGCACGCTGCCCTTGCGTGCAGGGGGAAACTTACTAGAGATCAGTGAGCGTGGCGTTCACCCTCAGGGCAGAAGCCAGGGCCGCAGTCCCTTCGTCCCCGATGGCGTTTTCCTGTAAACTGAAGCAGCAGTGCGGGGATCAGTTTCCCTGCATCTCTCTTTCTCCAGGGAGGAACTCACCTGTGCACCTCTCGGACGTTATCGGGCCTTGCAGGGAACTCCTGACAAAAGGGCAAACACGTTTAGGTTGCCCCGGGAGAAGTGCAGCTTCAGAATTACAGAAGGCAGCAGTTCTACTCTCCTCTGTCCTAAGCAGGCCTCACCTCGAATATGTTGGCCTGTTCTGGACCTTCAGAAGGGTTCTGCTCAAGGTCAGAGGAGAGCAGCAAAGCTGATCAGGGGACTAGGAGTCCTACGAGGAAAGATTGGACAGGAGGAGCATTTCTAGCCTTGAGAAAAGAAGGCTGGGGGGCACATGATGGCACTCGTCAAGCACCTCAAAGGTCGTAACACAGAAGAAGGCCACAACCTCTTCTCCACCCTTCAAGTCCACAGGTGTGAAATAACAGGCTTACTTTAGCTGCAAATTGCAGCTAAAAACCATGAAGCAGCTAAAACTCCCTAACGGTCTAGGTAACACAACCAACCACAAAGAGTATAGACATTAAAGAAATAATAATAAACAGCTATTTTAAATAGAAGTCACGGCAACTATATTTAGCCATTTCAACTGCTGCCTTCTGCAGGCTTTTCTGTTTCTTGCCATTCGTAAACACCATCAAGTCGCAGAAATATTAAACAAAGCTTCATTCTCAGGCACAGGAAGAGAAATCCTGAGTCTTTATCCAGGACAATGTTTAAAATTAAAAACTTAAGAAGGGCCATGGTGGAAGAGACCAGAGGAGACTCAGAGGGGATCTGTTGGCGACATACAGGTATGTGAGGGGGGTGTCACACGGAGGTGGGTAGAGGCCTGTTCTCCCCTGCAGAGGAAGGCAGAATGCGCTCCAATGGAGCAAAGCTCAGGGAGCCAAGGTTCCATTGGATGCCAGGAAGCACTTCCTGACAGTCAGAACCCCAAGGGTGTGGAATGGGCTTCCACGGGAGGTGGTTCAGGCCCCATCGTGTGGGTGTTCAAGGATATTACTATTATTATTATTACTATTACTACTACTATTATTATTATTATAGCAGGACGTGCACATGGTGGGCATGTCGTGAGCGGAGCCGGCTGGTGCCAGAGGTCAGACTAGATGGCCCGGGAGGCCCCTTCTGACTGGCTCTGTTTTCTATGTTTCTATGTTTCTAGGTCCCAGTCAGCAACCAGATGCCCTCAGGGTCCCACAAGCAGGAAGGAGTGCCAGCAGCCTCCCACCTATGTGCCCCCACAACCAGGTTATAGGCAGACCACTGTGGATCCTGGAGGGAGCATGCATGCAGCCATCAGGACCAGCCTTCTCCAACAATTTGCCAAATCCTCTTTAAAGCCATCCAGATGAGTGGCCATGGAGGTGAATGGCATGCTTGAAGTGCACGAAGAAGCCCTTCCAGACCTGACCCCCGACCTCTCCATGCAGGGCTGAGGGAAGGACTCTTGCCAGGCCAAGGGCCATCTAGCCCCATGCTCTGTGGCCACACTGACGCTTATGGGAACCATAAGCAGCGCAACCCCCCATGATCCCCGGCCAACGGTCTACATAGGCAAACAGCTTCTGGTGCCGCCAGACAAAGAGGTGGACCTACTCCAGGAGGGTGAGGCTGTTGTTGAGCTGCAGTGCTTGGCTCAGGGCCTTTGCCGCCATGGACTGAACAAAGTTCCACTGCAGACTAGGAAACAGAGAGACAGAGGAGGTTAATGTCAGGATGCCGAATGCGCTACTTTCCTGAAGGTTCGGCCTGCAGTCCTCCTCAGCCCTGGCCAGCATAAAGCCAGTGGGGAGGGCTCGTGGGAGTTGCAGGCGAAGACTTGGGTGGGCCACAAGTGGCCATTGAGCGTAATTACACGCTACAGCCCTTCCTGGGCTGTACCATTCCAGAATGCAAACGGCCTGTGCAGGGTGTGTGTCACGCCGGAATGTAAATGTCATATAAGGACACATAGCAGCAATTCTTTGCAATGCAAGGATTACCCCAGCAGGACACCCTCCCACTAGCCAGGCACTGCGCCAGCCTGGAGCTTGAACGCTTTGGGAGAACTGGGCAGGTGGCAAAGATTGCTTGCATAAGCCCCACCACCCGTGGGCTCCCATAAAGAGCCGTTCAGCTGCATTCTGTATGATAAGCTCACATTTTCCAGGTCTAGACTAGAGGATTCTTGTGACATGCTACCAAAAGTTACATGTTCCAGTGATATACAGAAACCCCCAGAAACTCACTGCAGAGATTCCAGTGCCTGGTTCTCCTTCAGTGCCATTGCAATAGCCTGGACACCTTCATCGTGCAGCAGGTTGGCGGCCAAGCTAGAAGAAAAATCCACAGGAAAGGGGAGTTGTCACACCATAACTTGTGAAATGACAGCTGCCCACCTCTCGTTACGACTTTGGCCTCTTCATGGCCCATTTTGGCTCCTTACCCTCACGGTCCCAAGGATCTTTTGTCTGTCTACAGCGTATAACAGGGCTGTTGAACTTCAGAACTAATAGGCAAGAGCAGATAGGGCTAAAGTACTCACTCCAAATTTCTCAGCGTGCTGTTAGCTCGAAGGGCTCTGGCGATCTGTCGAGCTCCCTCTTTGCTTATGGAGTTCTCCCGCAAACTTAAAAAAACACAAGGAAAAAGACATTGCCATTGTCTTCCAGATGCTGCCGTCATGTTTTAGCCTTCTTGTCAATCTTACCAAGCTTATCTCACCAAAGGTTAATAATATCTATGATAATAATGATAATAGGATAAAATTATAATAATATCATTTTGGCTGATTTCTAAAGAAAGAGTATTAGAGTGAGATCTTGAATAAACCCACAAAGGTATTGGTCATATTTATTTAAAGCATTTATTAATTCAGTTTGTGAGACAGAACAGGCAATTTATAGTGTGGTTTTAGGATGACTGTAGTCCCAGTGTTAAACCTGGAGAAATAAAAAAGCACATCCACTTTGCCAGTTCTTGAACCTGTTGGGACTGGAAAGGCAACCCTTTCTCTGGTCAGGTTGCAGCTGCAGAACGGTTTCCTCGCCCCCAGCAGGACAGGTGGGAATCAGTGTAATTGCCAGTGGCCTGGCCTCTCAACCACCTATGAAGGTGACTAAGCAGGTGCTTTGAGCTGTCAGTCCATATAAGTGTGGAAAGCAATTGTCGCTGCGCATGTCAAGCTCTGTCCACATACTGGAGCTTCACACAGAATGCAGGCTCTGCACATTTCTATGGGCTTCATTTTGGGTTAATGTTTTTAGGATTCCATAGTCCAGTCGAAGCTATTATGCTCAAAAACCTTGCACACACTTTCAGCAGAGCTTCCCGCTGCCTCACTTTCTCCTAGGAATTCTGTTCTTGCAGGGCCAATGCAGCACTGTTAAGTCAAGTTTACCCAGATGGGAGCCAGCATTTGAAAAGGTCTGACCATGACCAGAGAGACCCACATTCAAAATCTCATTTGGTCTAGAAACTCACGGTAAGGCTTGGCCAGCCACAATATTTCACTCGGCCTGGCCTGTGCTGGGGATCACATGGGCTGGTATGTAGGGCTTGGCAGGGTTAAAAAGCAGTGTCCAGAGTTCCTTCCCTGCCCGTTTGATTCTCACAACAGCACCGCAACGTCAGTGCCCCTGTTACAAAGGCACCCATTTTCAAGGCAAAAAGGGGCAAAGCTGGTATAGCAGCTGAACCATCTTCCCAGAAGCCTAAATTTGCCACATTTTGGGTTAAAAACATCTTGAAAATTGTGCCAAGCAGCCCAGTTGCTCCTTCCCCCAAAGAACAGTGGGGTGATTCCCCTGATCATTGCCAGCTTTGAAGACCCACAAGTGGGACAAAGCCACAAACGGTGGCCAAGGGACCAGATGCACGGCAGGAGTCAAAGGCAGCAGAACCACGGCTGGGACGTACTTGAGGGTGGAGAGTCCCTTGTTGGAGCAGAGGGCTTGCGTGAGCGCGGTGATCCCGGTGTCACTGATGGAATTGCTCTGGAGACTGAAACGAGAAAGAGGACCGTGGGAGCCGGTGAACGAGAGGGATGCACCTCCGGGATTTCTGCCTGATGCCAAACCGTGGGGAGCTCTGTGCTCAGCTTCCTTTTGCCTGAAAGAAGTCCTCAAATGGCTTGTCTCCATGGTGATGGTGGAGGTGGTGGAAGCTCAATTTATGCGCATTGTTCCTCTGTGCCTTTTGCTGGAGGCCAGCAAAACTCTCTGGGCTCAGGCTTACGAACAAATGTGGGGGGCTCCTCAGACCCTGCCTCAAATGAGACTTCCCCACGATACCGAGTCCGGTGGACTTGGAGGAGGATGCCGCTTTCCTGAGAGCTGCTGCCGTCTCCCACAGTCCCTCAGGCTCTGGCCACCTTGGAGAATGCAGCTACAGTGAAGGAGCAGGACCCTGGCTCCCTCTTCCCTGCACGGAAGGTCAGAGCCTCGTTGCAGCTGCAGCCCGGAGAGGCTGGCGGCGAAAGCCTTCCGTGCAAAGGGACCCGGCAGGCACGGGTGTGCCCTCTTCTTGGCTAATGCACAAGTGGCCGCCCTCTGGACTAAACAGACTGAAACTCCTGGACTAAACTCTGTCTAAGCCACAGAGTTTTCTCCTATTACCAGAAAGTATGGCAGACAAGGCGGGCGGGATCAGCTAGAGCCAACTCCTGGGTGGCCTGCAAGCTGGCGTCAAGGCAGCCTTGCCTTATGTGCTCACCACACCGTGGGCCGCAGTGAGGCCCAGAGGGCCGCAGCTCAGCCACAGGGCAATTCCCTGCGCACAGGAGGACCCAGCTCCAGGCCCCGGCTTCCCAGGTCGGGCCGACCAAGGCCCATCTCCCGGCGTCCTGAGAGATGGCAGGCTTCCCATGGAAGGTGCCTTCCATCCAAAGGCGTCCAGTCCAGGAGAGTCCCACCCAAGCCTGCTTTAAGCCAAGGGGCCCCGCGATGAGGAAGCCCTCCTGCTACCCCTTGAAAATTAGCACCCGAGCCTGTCTCTGCACGGTCCTTCTCAGGATGGCGAGACCTGTTGGATTTCCATTTCCATTACAGCCACTGTCCGTAAATTTGCATCTGCGCACAAAATTGGCAGGCGCAAATCCCATGAAGAGTAGCCTCTAGAGAGCGCCTGCCAGGCAGGGTTGTGAGCGTTCCTGAGTCAGCTGAAGGGCTGGTCCTCTCCCAGCACAAGGCAGCGCTGTGCGCCTTCCAGGTGGCGCTGCTCTGCCAGGATGGCTTTGCTGCAGCACCCCCTGGAAGGGGCGACAGGAGCGCCCGGGGGACTTACTCCAGCAGCAGGAGGGTGTGGTTCGCCCTCAGTCCTTCTGCCAGGGCTGCAGCGCCTGCGTCTCCAACAGAGTTGCTGGACAATCTGGGGAAGCAAGAAGCAGAGAAGCGTTTCGTGTGGTGCTGGCCAACTGAGTCCCGCAGCCCAAGCCAGACCCAGGAGACCCGGTTCTCTAGGTCAGCCTTCTTCAGCCCACACGTTCCAGATGTTTTGGGCCTCAGCTCCCAGCAGTGCCAGCAGGCATGGCCCATGGGCAGGAATGGTGGGGCTCACCATCCACAATATTTGGAGGGCATCGAGCTGGGGACGCCTGCCCCATGTGAGGAAGGCCAGGCCAGGCCAGGCCAGGCCAGGCCAGGCTGGGTGCTCTCTGGCTCTGGCCAAGGGGAAGAATGTGCCTCCACATCACCGCCTTGCTGCAGGGGTGGGTGGAGGTTAGGGTGGAAAGGTCTCCGGCCCTGAGATCATCCCCGAGGCTCCTTCCCCGGAGGTCCCCAGCTTTCCACTTTGATGGAAGCAGAACTGAGCACACAGGAAGCAACTGTGTCTCCCTCCGCACCATGGGCCCATCCGGCCCAGAACCGTCCACGTCGACTGAGAATGCCTGGCTGGCTGCCCACAGCACAGCACAGAGCAAGAGGCTCAGGATCAGCTGCCAGTCCTGACTGAACTTGGAATAACTTGTCTTGTGCTTCAGGCAGCAAAATGTGCCTGCTGGATTGTGTGCATGCGTACTGCTGCACCAGGGCCCACGTCTCCAGGGTAGTTCTGCATCAGACTGCCTCTCGATGCTCTCCAAAGGGTGCTGAGACCCCTTGGAGGGCAACGGCACCACCTCCTGGGCTCAGCATCTTTCCCCCAGCTCTTACATTAGCTCCTTCAGGTTCCAATTCTTCTTGAGTGCATCCGCTATTTCCTTAGACCCTTGGGGTCCCACAGAGTTCTTCTGGAGGCTGCAAAAGGGTGAGATCTTTCATAAACATGGAGAGGAAGTCCAAGTCCATGGAACAGCACAAGGCAAACAAGCTACTTCTCTGGAGCAGGGGTGGGTAAACCCAAATTAGTTCAGGCAAGTGTCACAGGGCACGGGTCCCCGCTGAGGACATGCACCCCTGTATGATTGGACCCCCACTTGTCTCCTCCCCTGCTGCAGAGAAGCCTTTCAAGGGGGAGCAGTGCTGGGGGGGGGGGGTTGTCCTTCTCTCCCCAGCAGCTCTCTCTGTGCTGCAAGTGGGCCTTTTTAATACCTCCCTTGGAAGGGAAACTGCTTTAGGAGGTCTGGAAGCCAGGAGCCAGAAAGCACAGGGCTTCGTTCCCTGGCCTAGGTGACCGAACAGAAAAAGGGGAGAGCGCATCCGAGGGTCAGCTTTCCGAAAAAGAGTCACACACATCAGAGGGCAAATCTGGTGTGGAAATGAGAGGGCCTTGCAAGGTAGGGATGCGGGCTAATGGGAGGGCAGAGCTGAATCAAGGGGTACGGCTGCCCCTGGGCCGCACTACTCCAGGCTGCATGCGGGTGGGTGTTTGAGGGGGCTGTGTGTGGGTCACTGCCCTCGCAGGAAGGGGAGCCACTACAGGTGGAGTTCGCACATCAGCTAGCACGTTCCCTCCTCTGCCGTGCAAGGTGCTTCGGTTTGAATATAAGAAAGTGCTCGCACGTGCAAAGCCGCTCCTCCCTCCCAGTGCAGTCTGAAGTGGGTTGGTGGGAGAAAAGTTTCATCCCACTGGTGCTGCTCTGCGCAATAAACAGGGCCCTTGTCCAAGTCCCACAGGGATGTCAATCCCAAAATGGCAGCAGCGCCAGCTGCCAGTTACAGGGACCGCTGCCCGGGAAGGAACTGGGCGGTCCGAAGGAGGTGGCCTGGAGGAATCACAGGTACGCACTTCAGCGTCCTCAGCGTGTGGTTGTGGGCCACAGCATTGGCCAGGCATTTTGCGCCGTCTTCCTTGATCTTGTTGTTCTGGAGGCTGAAAGAAGAGAAGAAAAGCCGCTCTGTTGGCTGTCCAGCTGCTGATTCCAAGCTATGACAAGACAGACCAGGTTTGGCCAACACAATAATCCACACTCGGGGCCGAGTATGAGGTGAGTGTGGCTTCTTGTGGAAACACGGGCTATTGTGTTGTCTGAACCCAGCTGCACTAAGAAGCCATGGTTTGTTAACCATGTACAACCCATGGAGAGAAGCCAAGGTTTGCTGTTGGGTTATGAACTGTGGGTTTTTCACCCACATGGCTTGTTCTCTTGGCTGGGTTCACATGACCCAAGAACTCACAACCCAGACCTAACCCTTGAGTGCTGATATGCAGTCAGTAATTCTGACCGTGCCGCTCAATAGTGGCTATGCCAAATGTACACCCATCTCCGTACTGACGTATCTCAGCGACTGTTCAAAATGGCCTGCAGAACCTCAGACCCTGTGACCAAATCTCGCCTTTCTGGGGTCCCAATATAAACCCCATGGTTCCACAACTCCAGTGTGGCCTTTGAACATGCTGCTGAGAAAGCACACAACCAGACAACAGCACAATCATGTGCTGATGCTCAGCCTCACACACAGGCACCTTCTCTGCCTGGAGAGAGCAAGGCAAGAAAGTCCACTTACTTCAGAGAAAGCAAATATTGGTTGATCTTTAGTGCATCTGCAAGTGCCTTTGCTCCTTGGGATCCTATGGAGTTACTTCGAAGACTTGGCAAAAGGCGAGTGGAAGGAAGGAAAGACCAGTGTTAGCCACAAACTCGCCTATGCCCCTCCCCCAAGCAGTGACTGGGAATAGAGACCTGGTTCACACGTAACAACAACCCAACGCATGGGCTGATTCTGAGTTATCATTGAACTGTGGGCTCTTGTTGCACCATGGGTTGTCATTATGTGCAAACACTGCACTATGGAGTTGCTAACCATGAACAACTCAGGAAGAGAACCCATGGTTTGTTGCTGCATTGCAAACTCTAGGCTATTCCTGGGTAGCAAGCTGTATTTAAACCATGGTGCTGGGCTTGCACATAATGGTATTCCCTGATTCAACAACAACCCATACTCTGGATTCTTGTTGCATGCAATCCAGACCATATTCTTATTCTAGTAATTTCCAATAGGGGCAAGGTTAATTTTCTGCTTGAATATGGCCCTTCTGAATTTATTTTCCCAGTGCGATTCTCCCCAGATAAATTGGACATCAACTCCCATTAGCCCCAGCAATATGACCAATGATCAGGACTTCTATCAGGGTAATCCTGAACATCTGGAGGACACCTGGTTGGGGAAGGCTGGCTTGGGGCTTCAAAAGGTCACCTGGCTTCCCACTTTGGCTCTGCCCACAGAAAGGTTTTGCCTGAAACCTGGGTCGCCAAAAGTCCCATCGGTAAGTGAAAGTCCCGCTGATGCGGGCGCTGCTTCCTGCAGGAAGGGGACAGAGGATGGGCAGGGGCAGCAAGCCGGCTGGCAGCTGCCGGTCCCACCATGACGCGGGACAAGCACCGCCATCTGGACACAGGATGGCCTAGGGCAGTGGTGGCGAACCGATGGTACGCGTGCTACGGGGCACACAGAGCCCGCTCTGCCAGCACGCAAGCCAAGTCGCCCCAGCATCGCCCCAGCAGCCGAGCATCGGATACCAGCGCACATAGGGGCCATGCGCTTGTTTGGAAAGGAGTAGCGACGCCAGGCAATGATGTCACGAGCCGCGACTCATTAGCTGCAACTTGTCCGAGCTTTCGCATGGCCGGTCAGTGCGCTGCCAAGGAGATATATATATATATATATATATATATATATATATATATTCATATTCGCTTGGACTGGCTGTGAGTTGTTTTTTCTAGACTAAAACCTCAGCATTCAGGTTTGATTGCAGTGTTGGCACTTTGTGATAAATAAGTGGGTTTCCGGTTGCGGTTTGGGCACTCGGTCTCGAAAAGGTTCGCCATCACTGGCCTAGGATCACAGCGCTCTCACGGCTGCTCATTCGCTTGTGGGCCCCGTGCAAGGGCTGCCGCAGAGCAGGTGCTCCGCAGGGCTGCCATGCAGAGAGGCACCGTAAGTCGGAGAAGACTTGACAGTGGCGAGCAGCGGCAGTGAAGCTTCCAGGTGCGGACAGTATGAGAGCCCATGTGGTGCAGCGGTTCAGAGCAGGGACTGGGCCTCAGGTGCCCCGGGTTCTAGCCCTGCTCCACCGTGGAGCCAACTGGGTGACTTGGGGCCAGTCACAGACTCTCAGCCCAGCCTTCCTCACAGGGTGGTGCTTGTGCAGACCAGGAGGAAGAGAATGATGTAACCTGCTATGAGTTTGTGGTGGGGAAAAAAGTGCTAATTAAATTCTAACTAAATGAATCATTCTAATTAAATAAAGAAATATTACTACTAGTGGTACTGCTTAGTAGTAATTTATTTCCAAACCAACAAGAGACTATGCTCTTTAACCTTTAAAACCCTAAGTGCTTGGGATGACACCTGCCCACACCTGTACAATTCCTATTGTTCAACCCAACAATGAGAGCCATTAGAGTGATAGTTCCTAGTAGCAGGACTTGCTCAGCAGGACCTCTTGAATGTCCTCCACAGGGAGATTCAGCCAGGCTTTAAAAAACACAAAGCCCAGAAAACACGTTTATGCCAGCCTGAATTTTGGTGCTTAAAAAGCATTAGCTGCTGCTGTGTGAATAATTGGAATTTGTATGTTCATGTTTTTAGAATATTATATGCCGCCTTGTTAGGGCAGCGGATCCCTGAAAGTGGGTTAAAATATTTTAAATACATAAATGCAGACTTATAAGATACTTACTCCAGTGCCATCAGGCTCCTGTTAACCATCAGGGACCTGGCAAGAGCTTTAGCACCTTTGTTTCCAATCTGGTTTTCTGCCAAGCTGTGCAAGGAGAGGAGAAAATTGTGAAATGCGTTTTCCAGGGCACGTGAACCATCCCGAATTCACCTGGCCTGCGATTGACCCTGCTAGAAACACCTAATCTGATAGAGCTGCTTCAAGGAAAGCTGGCAGCACTAATGATCAAGGTGCCATTGCTGTGAGCCAATCTCTTCCATTCTTCGGATTTTCTGCAGTAAGAAAAAAGATAAAAGATACGATGGAGAGGACAGGCAGGCTGCAAGAGAGAGGCTGTGCCACCTCTGACTCCCTTGCAAAGTCCCAGTCGGTGGCACAGTGAAAGCTTTGCCCAGAAGGCCAGCAAAGCGGGGGGGGGGGGGGGGCAGTTGATCATGTGCTGGCTGAACTTTGTGAAAGAAAGCTATGCCCACTTCCAGTTTGGGAACTAAGTTTGGCCTGAAGCTGAGCAAATAAGGGGCTAAGAGTGCTAAGCGTATCTTGGCTTTGTGGCAAGAAGAGCTGCATCAGTTTCCGGCGTGAATCTGCCTTTCGGGCCACGGTCCTTTGCAGCAGGGGTTGCGGCACAGTCCGGCCCTCTGGGCTGGAAGTGCCTGGCGCCAGGGAGCGAAGTGCGCCGGGCCGTTCCTTTCCTCTTCCTGCCCACCATCTCCTCTTCTCGGGTCTCCTGCCCTGCACAACAATGGGCCGTGGTCTGCAGGTTGCCCCAGCCTGCCACACGAACATGGGAAGTGCTTCCTGCTGGTCCAGGCATGCTCCCACGCTGCTTCTTATTGTCAGCACAGCCTGGCTGCAGCAGGCCAGGGTTTCGGGCAGATTTTCCAGCCCCACTTGGGGGTACGAGGGCCCTTCCCCAAGCAAAGCGGGTTCCCTCCCAACTGAGAAGAAACCCACTGACGGAAGCGGCTCCCTCCTGGCTGACGGAAAAGTCTCTCGGTGCGTGTACAATGGAATGAAGGAAGCATTTTTGGAGCAGCAAAGAACCTGCAGCTTGGCCCAGAGAGCAAACTCTCCGGAAGGTATCTTTAGTGGGGCAGGAAGGTGCTCCGCTTTTAGAAGGGCTCTGCTATTCCTTTGTCTTTGTGTATTGCTGGCCTTCCCCAAGCTGCCGCCCTCAGATGTGTGAGACTACAATTCCCAGCCACATGTGTAGAGGGTGCTGGGTTGGGGAAGGAGGAGCTGCACCCCTTTCCTGAGGTGCCCCATGCTATTCCTGTGGGTGCTAAGGTTCCCCCTGGTATCTTCCCTGGAGCCCGGCAGACCCCCGCTGTAATTGGGTGAACAAACCAGAAGCTGGAACATTTCCTGAAGAACTCTACCCCGCACAGGTGACAACGGTGCCTCACCTGATCTTCTGGATCTGGCAGTCCTTTCCACTCAGCACGCTGCCCAGCAGGTCCATGGCACTGTCTTTAAACTGGTTGTAGTCCAGCCTGGATAAAAAGCAGAGGGCAGGCAAAGGGCGAAGAAAGACACAAGAAGGAGAAAGAGGAGTTGGGTGACGGGGGGCAGCAAAATCTTTGAACATCCCAGTGAACGTCCATGTCCTTTGGAACAAGACGGGGTAGAGGAAGATCTCTCCCCCCCCCCCCCCCCCCCCCCCCCCCGTTTGTTCGTTTGTTTCAGGGCTGTGCTACTGAAGGCAAGAGGTTGGGCTCACGTGGCCACAAGCAACCAGCACGAAATCTGGCCTTAGGGTGCACGCTCTTTTCGCCCCCAATATCCCCCCCTCCAATTCCCCCCCACTCCCAATCCCAGAAATAGTTCTGAGAGAGTTAGCCAGCACGCCACAGAAGAAGAGTTCCTCTGGAGCAGAGCAAAGGCCCAGCAAGCCCAACTGGTGGAGGTGCCGTCAGTGCGCGCCCAGGAAACTCTTCTTCTTTCCATCCAATTCAGCTGAAGCTGCGGAAGAGTAAATCAGGATCCAGCCACAGGCGTGGACGGGACGGAGGTCCAACTAACAGAAGCTGCATAAAAAGGATGCCTTGCAAAGGCGCCTTGTTTGCCAGCCGAATGGTGGATCCTGTCCTAGACGTGCGGCACTCCTCAGACCGCGGTGAAGAGCCTCAGTCCCAGGGGCCACATATGGCCCCCCGAGGCTCCCCAGATGCCCCTTTCCCTGGTCCTCCGTCCCCCCCTCGCTCGGTTGTCTCCTGGCTTCCGTGCAGCTCCCTCACGATGCCACCAGCACAGTTGTGGAAGGCTGACATTGCTCTCCTCAGCCTCAGCCAGTGGTAGCAGGAGCTCGGAACGGAAGCCCCCCGGCACTTTGGCCCTGTCGTTTGGCCTTGGCCCCGGCCAGCCTGCCATGCCCAGAGCTTCTCGAAACGGAGCCAGCCCTCCAGCCACGGCTGGGGCTGCCACCTGCTCCACTGCTGGAACTGGAAGGACACAGGCCACTCCGGGGAACTGGCCAGCTTCGGTGTCCGGCGGAAGGAAGCCTGCCTGAGCCAGCGGTAATAACGTTCAGCTATAAGGAACCGGGCTTGGGGCTGCTCTGAGGACTGCTCAGGAGCCTACGCGGGGGCAGAAGGCGGCAGCAGGTGCCCTCAGGAGCGGGGGCGATGGCTGTCCAAGCTCTGCGATACCAGGGCTTGTGCCAGGAACCAAAAAGACCTGCGGCTCAGACCCACAGGACAAAAAAAAGCATGTATTTGCTTGTGCTAAGATTTGTTTGCTTGTTTAAAGCTTTTATAAACCATCCCTATACTAGTGTCTCGGGCCAGTTTACAGCAAACAGCAAGTAAAATAGAAATTAAAATAGCACAGCGTGCAGTATAGAACACATGAAAACCAATTGGACATTAAAATAATGGGAGAATAAAAAGGGGTTTGCCTGGCTGGTGCCAAAAAGAAAGAAGCATTGGCACCAGGTGAGCCTCTCTGGAGAGGACATTCCACAGTCGGGGTGCCACCACAGAGAAGGTCCTCCTTCGGGTAGCCACCCTCCTCATCTCTTTCAAGGAGGGCTCCTGGAGCAGGGCCTCCACCTCAGATCTCAAAGGGCGGGCGGGCACACAGGGAAGGAGGTGCTCCTTCAGGTACCCAGGACTCGAGCTGTTTAGGACTTCATAGGGCATCACTAGTACCTTAAATTGAGCACAGACTTCAATTGGCAGCCAGTGTAAGCAGTAAAGTCTCTGTATGTGTCTTCAGAGCTTCCCTATCTATTTGCAAACAGGGATGTAGGGTTAGGGGAGGGGAGAGGAGAACATCTGATGTCAGTGGCGGGGTGAGGAGGAGCTCAGTCTGAAAGGTTCTAGGATGGACAAGCATCGTGGGCCAAAGCCAGCTCAGCCAGGGAGACCCTCAGGGTCCTGAACCTTGATTTCAGCAAGTGCCAACCGGCAGAGGGGCTCCCTAGTGAAGGATTTGGGGCACCAGCCTTGTGGGCTGACCCCCAGCGTCACATGTCTGTGTGACGCCAAGTGCACTGGCCTTCCAGCCATGTCTTTTCCCAAGTGCTGGCTTTGGCTTTGTGGCTTAGGACCAGGATGCCTGAAGGACCACTTGTCTCCATAAACGACTGCCTGCATGTGAAGATTTTCAGGGTGCTGAGGTCCCGCAGGTGGCTATCGGGGAGACAAGAGTGGCACCCCGGCTGCGGAACACTCTCCCTCAAGAGATGCATCTGGTAGCCCATCTAGGGCCCTTTCGGCATCAAGCAAAGAGCCATGTTATTGTCCAAGCGTTTTAGACATTGTTCTAATTTTGTTACTTGTTGGATGCTGTTCTGAGCTCCATGGCCTCTTAGTTTATTATGACTGGATTTTATGGCATGGCAATTATTTTATTCTTTCTTATAAACCACCCTGGTCATGCCTATAATAAACAAACAAGCAGACATTTCCCCCCGTCAGCAAGCACTGGCTTCCAAGAAGCACACGAGAAGAGCAGGAAGGCGACTGAGCTCCCTTCTGAGCAATTCTCCCACAACGGACTTTGAATTTGGGGGTTCACTTTAGCTATAATGTCTAATCACTACCAAGAGACTGTCTTTCTCCTCCTCCTCCTCCTCCTCCTCCTCCTCAAAACATTTTAATCTCTTAAAGCCAGCACTACCTCTGTGGCAGGACATTCTGAAGCCCCTTCCCCTAGTTCCCAAAACCTTTCCCCTAATTCCCAGTCAATTACTTGGTTGGGATGATTCCATGGTGGTGGTGGTGGGGAGGGGGATGCACTCTGCATAACCTCAGAGGCACTCCCTTCCCTGCTACGGCTTCCGCACTCACAGCTGAGAAAGGGCTCGGGGGGGGGGGGCAGCGCATGTCTCCATCCTGCTCTGTGCGAAGTCCTCAGCGTGGCCTACCTGAGATTGTTGCAGTAGAGGAGCTGTGAGAGAAGACTTTGGAAGGCATGATGGGTGAGGCAGTTGGACAGGTTCGCCTCCTCCGCACACACCTCTGAGGTCTGCAGGAGGTAGGCCAGGGCGGAGCAGTTGGCTGGAGTCAGCATCCCGGACAAGCTCTCGCTCTTCATCGCCTCCTCAACGTTCGCGGCAACCTCCGTGCAGCGGATCTCGTGCAGGCACCGCATGAGGTTGACAGTCCTGCAGGAGACTGCCTGGTCCACACCCAGCAGGCCCTGCAGAAGTGTGACCGCCTGGCTTTGGTAGCTGTGCTGCTCATCTCGCACCAGGAACCAATCAGCCAGGGCTTTGTTCACCTGTGGGGAGAGCAGGCCAGCCAAGAAGCGCACAAAAATGTCCAGGTGCCCATCCTCAGACTGGAGAGCTCTCTGGACAGCATTTTTAAAGTGGTTCAGGAAACCCAGCTTTGGCCAAGACATGCCATTCTCCACAAAGAGATCGAAAATGGATCTCTTGGCTGAAGTAAAATAATAGATAGCTGCCAGAAATTCCTGAAATGTCAAGTGAGGGAAATGGTAAATGGTGGAAAAGGAAGTCTCTTCCTTAAGCAAGAGTCTGCTGCTCAAGCTGAGATGAAGAGAAGAGAGGTCTACCCCATAGGCCTTCACATCCTGCTCGTGAAACATGTATTTTCTCTTGATCAGGCTGTAGAAGGCCAGTCGGCCCAAACAACTCATCATCTTCTTGCAGTTATTCACCACCTGTTCTATCTTGAGAACTTCCTTTGGTTTTCCGGGCCAGTCTCCACACAGAAGCATTTTAAAGTGGTAGGAATAGATTTCTGACAAAGTCTTAGGAACAGATGACATGTCTGGAGCATGGTCAGCTGCTTTTAGAAAGTAGCCAATAGAAGAGGCACAGACCCGGCAAAATGCTGGCACGGTGCACATTATATATAAAGATCTGTTGAGCTTAAGATGATGCATCACACAATCTGCTAGGCTTTGGTTCTCAACGAACATGCGATCCAGGTAGCCTTTGATGTCTTCATCGCCAAAGCCCTGTACTTCAGTCATGCAGTCCACTAGGCCGCCAGGGATTTGGCTGGCTGCTGTGGGCCGGGAAGTGATCCAAAGGGAAAACGTTTGTAGCAGGTTGCCTCGGATGATGTTCGTGATCAAGCTGTCCACTTGGATCTCCTTTCGAACATCTGTGCAAACAGCAGTGTTGGAAAAATCTAGCAGAGTCTTAAATTCATCCAGTCCATCCAGAACCAGGAGTACCCTGGCTGAGCCCAGGGAAAGCGAGTGTGGGTCAGTCAAGTGTGGGGCTGCCAGCCGGATCAGCCTCTCGGCCGAGAGTTTATCATACGTGTTCAGTTCTCGAAATGTGAGAGGCAACACAAATGTAAAATCCTTGCCAATCTCTCCCTTTGCCCACAAATGGACAAAGAGTTTTACCAAAGTGCTTTTGCCAATGCCGGCAACTCCAATAGTCACAGAGATGCGTGGAGGGATGCTCAGTTTGGACAGGGGTAGAAAGAGCTTCTCCAAAGGGATCTTCTTGGAGGCATTTCGCACGCCTTTGGTGGTTTCGATCTGCACAAGATCATGCTGCCTCTGCTGGAGATCGGTCAGCCCTTCCACAAGGAGGAGGTCAGGCAGTCTTTCCCAGGGGACGAGCTCTGTGCTAGCACCGCTCCAGGCCTGGAGAGTCTCCATGTGCTTTTCCAACATCAGGTCTGTGAAGAAATGCGAGAAAGACGCATTGGCAAAGACCTTAGGCAGACCCTCTGCAACCCCCCACCCACTTCTGTGACTGCAAATTAGAGGAGCCCAAAAGAAGTCCAGTAGAGGACCGCTGGATGAGAGCCTTGCTAGGAAGGGGATTCACCCAATCTTCAGAGGAAACACTCTGGAGAAGAGGGTTCAAATCCAAAATTGCTTTTCTAAATCCTCAGTGGTTTCCAGAAATGTTAACAGGTGAACTTTAGTGTCCAGAGGCATGGGGTTCCAGCTGAAGTATGCCTTCCGCAGCAGGACCACCTGCACACCTCCATCCATTAGAAGAGTGCTATGATCGTTGCCTGGAACCCTTAGTGAATTCAGGTGTCCACTGTTCTCCCTTTGTGGGAACCCTCCACTGTTCTTCGCAGAATGCCTGGGAGATAGTAATAAACAAGGCTTTATCCATGGGTCTGGTGGAGAAGAAAGGAAGCTTAAGGGTTCCAGTCCATAGCTGACGGACTGGAAAGGAGCGCGGAAGCAGAAGTAAGCCTGAGTGATCAGCTGCATAACTCTCAGATACTTCCAGTCCCACCAGGAAAAACCTCTGACGCCTTCCCTACACACATCAGTTCCCACCCTCTCATTCCCCTCCTGCCTATTTCCACTGGAATCACCCTCCACTTTCCATGTCTTCCAGAACCTGAGCATGCACTGACTTGGTTCACAAGACTCAAGGGCCCATCATGGGTAACTGGCCGGTGTCTCCTCTTTCTGGGTAGCTGGAGACTCAGGGGAGTGTTGCAAAGACAGAGGCAGTGAAAACCATCAGTTCATTGTTTAAACGTGACAGGATCACATTGCCAAGGGGAGAGATCATCGTCCTTCACTTTTGGTGTTCAGCTTTTGGTGTTTGGACCCTGGCAACTATGTGCAAGTTCATCCCTGTTCAGTCTCACCCTCTCAGGTTCCATGTACGTTACCTACTCCCCTGAGCTGCTTGGAAACGCACAAGGAAATTGACCAGGCAAGACCTCGTACATCTGTCAGACCACGTCGCGAACTCCCACCCTGCTAGGCATAATTACTCAGCCGCAGTTCAGAGACAAGTCAGCCTCCACCTGCTCTCTGGCTTGTGGTGCTGGGTGAACCAGGTCATTTGGAAGATGGTGTGTCTAGCAGGCTTGGCTGTTTGTTAAAGCATCAGTCCTAGATGCGCCTCAGCGTTCTTCATCAGGGCTGTTGTGGCGGGAAGGGGAAGCGCGACCTTTCCCACCCATAGATGATAATCACTCCACACCCTCAGCTGCTCTGCAGCCAAAATCAAAAGGAAATGCCCCTATTTGAGCCAGCGGAGCTTGTCCCCCGTGTCCAGCGGCACAAATCACCGTGCGGGTGATTTTCCTCAGGATTATGCAGGAGGGTTCAGGCTCCGCCTCAGGCACGCTGCATTTCAACGCCATAGCAGTGCTGGCAATAGTAGCAGCAAGACCTTTATTGGCAGCATGCGTTTCAGTGGAAATTGAGGTGGGGTAACGACTGGATGATGATGAGGAGGAGGATTTTTTAAAATTGGAGCTGAGTTAGAAACATAGCAACACAGCTCTCTAGTCTGACCCCCGGCTCCAGCTGGCTCCACTCATGTGATCCCCAACATGTGGCTGTCCAATCTTTCCTTGCAGACCCCCACTGAAGGGGCCTCCATCAGCTCCCTTGGAAGCCCGTTCCATATCCTGGGATTCTGACCATCAGGAAGTCCTTCCGTCCATCCAGCCTGAAGCCTGTTTCTTGAGCTTTGCCCCACTGGAACCCATCCTGCCCTCCACTTCAGGGAAGAACAGGTCACGGCCCTCCTCCAGATAACATCCCCTCACATACCTATAAGTCCCTAAAAGATCCCCTTGGAGTCTCCTCTTCTCCAGGCTAAAAAGACCTGGTTCCCTCAGTCTTACCTCATATGCCATCCCACCCAACCCGGCTACCATTCCTGTGACCCTGCGTGAACTGATTCTAACCTAGCTATGTCTCTCCTATAATGTGGAGCCCAGAACTGGAGGCAGCGCTCCAGCTGTGGGCGCATCAGAGTGGTATCAACACCCCACTAGATCTGGACTCCTCCCTAGATCTGGAGTTGCAACCCTGGCCATCTTGCAAGCAAGCATATCAAATATTGATGGCCTTTAAACTTACTGTGCTTATTTATTATTCTTATATTATTACGACTACTACAGATTTCAACCAGGTCTTGCTTCCAAGATGAGGCTGGATCAGAACTTTGCTCCACCTGTTATAAATATTTCCCTCACATATTAGCACAATTGGTGTACAAAACAAGAACAGTGCAAGGCAGGATTGCAAAATAATAAGTCTCTCCCTTTGTGTAAATGTATGTGCATGTGCCGCCTTGGAAACATCTTTTCACGAAAAGCAGCTAAAACCTGTGTTTGCATGAGATTTTCTTTCGTTGTCACATTAACTGCTTCTTCGCAGAAAGGCCTTCAGGGAAGATCACACGTAAGGCCAGAACTTCACATTATCCTTAGAAACAGACGCTCCTAAACTTGGACTTCAAGGGGATGACTGAAGGGCACGTGGCAGTGCAGGAATTCCCACACAAGAAGGCAAGTATCCCACTGCTCAGCTCCGTGAAAATGTGACCTCACCTCCTGGGGCCAAGACAACCAGTGCCCACGTGAGGAAACCCTCACCAGCCACACCAATGACGCAAACAACCTGGACACTGTAACTCATGCCGTTAGTCCTGGATTAATTACTTTAGTGCCTTTGGAAAGCTTGTTGGGATGTCAGTGCTGCAAAATGCTTCTGCTGGCCAGCGCACAGTTTCCTATCAGCTTGCACACCTAGAAGCACCCACTTTGGACCACCTCCACTGGATGCAAAGACTTGACTCTGACTTTTCAAGCCAGAGTCTCAGTTAAATCAGGTAACGTCTCTTCCCCTACAAGTCCCCCAAGCAGTTAAGATATACAAGTTTTCCATTTCCCAGTGGCCACTGCAAACAGCAGGGTCTGTTTCTCTTGCGGCCTCAGTGTGCCGGAATGCCTTCTCCAGAGGGCTTCCTATGCTTCCTTCCTTTCCTCAGGACAGCCACTTCAGCAGCGTCAAAAGAGATGAAATTCATTACCAGAAAGAGAGGACAAAACAAAACGCCAATCTCCTTAACAGTTACATTTACAAATTGTAGACAGATAACTGCACCTTTGGAAACGACGACAGGAATTTAGATAGAAATACTATGTCTTTCATCCTGCCAGAAAAGACTGAACCTATGTGCCTGCTCAGGCCTGCAGTCCTCCGGGTCTTGACTGTCGATGAGTCACATCAAGCCCCCTTTTGCTTCCACAGCAGTTCTTTGATTTCCAAACAGACCTGGAGCAGACAACACTTCAACTAGTAAAGACACCTTCTAGTCTAAGACTATCTTCTGCCTGCTTTTTAAAACAGAGGACAGTCTAACTCCAGGTGTGACTCTTTTCAAGTGGGATCACGACCCCTTTCCTGCTCAACACCCATAGCTGTTAATCTCTTCTGCTGTAGTTTTATTTGCCCGTGTGGCAGGACTTCTGCTTGGAAAGCAATGAGCTGCTGTCACCTAAAATTAAAGTCTGTTTGCAGTCCTCATGACTCTGAGTAAGAGGCTGGGTTCAGAAGGACCCTATCAAGCTTCATTTTGTCTGTGGCTGCTCGTCTCTGGAGTCTCAGGCAGAGTCCTCCTTGGATCACAATGGGAGCTTTGCGCCCAGAGCTGGCGTGATGCCGCTGAGCCTTCTGGAGGAAGCAGCGTGCTCCTGGCAGGTCTGAGGTTGCATTTCTGCACTGGCAGGGCCCGCATGATGCAATGAGCAGCCACAGGCCTCCATGGGTTTGCTTTGCCGTGCTGGCCAAACCTAGTTCTGGGTGGTTGATCACTGTGATTTAAAAGACCCCCCCCCCCCCACGGTGGACTGCCGTGTCATGGAACTTTGGGGGAAATGCCAGAGCAAGCCAGGCGGTCAGCAGCAAGCGCAGCTGATGGTTGCCTCCATTTGGAGCCATCGCCAGAGATGTCCCAGCTCTCCTGCCCCCAGCCCAGAGACCCTCCCTCCCGGCACTCGCACTGGAGAAGAAACAGAATGGGGGACTCATCTGGGGGGGGGGCAGCTGATTGCTTCCCTTCCTGCTTGCTCCAGGGAGAAAACCTCTCTGGTGTGACCGGGAAGGGAGCTTTCCCCTTTCCCACTCCTGCGCCAATGGCTTCCTCTCCAGCAGAAGCAAGAAAGTGGTCCAGGCCAGGCTGTGATGTGCCCAGGAAGACCATCCCCGGCCAAGCCCGCTGCCCCACTCCTGCTCTGAGCCACTCAAGTGTGGGGGGGAAGGGGAGACTTCTCTGAAGTCGCTCAACCAAGAGGGGGGAAGGGAGGACCACTCTGTGCCCACTGCTTCTCTCCCCTGTTCCCACCTAATTCAGCCCCCCTCCTGCTCTGGCGGTGGCAGTGGCGGCAGCTTCTTGACAGATGTGGCAGGTCAAAGTCGGTTTGCCTCCATGGCTCTCCGTGGGAGGAGCCTCGTTCCTCCCTCAGTGTCCCAGGAAACCTCCTGGAGGAATGAGCAGGGAGGAGGCGGGGAGGGAGCAAAGCAGCCCCTGCGGCCTCTTGGGGCACTTGCCCGACGCCTCCTGAGGGCTTGCCACAATGGCTTGCCGTGAGGCGCTAACCCGCCCGGGTCCCAGTGGTCTTCTGTGGTGCCCTGTGGGACTGGCAGGCTACCCTCTCCCAGGTGAGACGAGCACCATCAAAATGAATCCCATCTTCTTCCTACCTTCTCCAGATCTACATCTCTTTCTTGCAGCCTCCCCAGGATTCTCCATTCAGTAGGTCTCACATCTTGAGCAGAGTCTGCAATGTTACTTCTGCCTCCAAAGCTGTCTTTTCAAATTCAGGATGGATTACAAAGCCAAACCACGGGGTTTTGAGGGCAGATTATCTGTGTAATGTGAATCTGGTGGTCCAGATGGTCTGGAGTAAGAGAGAAAATGTGGACCACAGTACAGTCTTCTGTCTCGGCTGAAGATTTCAGAAGGCTTCTACAGGGAAAAGGCAGCTGTTTTACACGTGCTCAGCCCAGAGAAAGCAGAGCAGCAAAAAAGAAGATTTGGCTTTCCTTGTCTGCACTTTGCTGCTGATGCTGTTCCAGTTGAGCAGCTTTTGTTCTTTTTGTTCTTTCTCTTTTGCTAATTGCCTCTTCCTGCACTGTGGGCCTAACTTGCTCTTCCTTCCTGTTTGTCTGACTAGCTGCAAGACAACCCAGTGCAATGCAGTGACCACTGAGGAAAAAGCGCAGCCCACATCTGCCAGGAAATGGGTGAGGATGTCTGTCAGTCGCTCGCAAGGTCGCTTTGTTGCCTGAGACAAAAATCGAGAGAGCATCCATTTTAGGCTGAACTCACCTGGAGCAAACTCCACCAGAAGGTTTGCCTCACAGACTTCATGCTCTTGTGCAGGTCCTGTTGGTCACAGATAAGCTTGATTTGGGAAGCAACCAGGATGGGTTGGCCCAGTGGGTCAGACCTGCCTGTTTCCATCAGCGGCACTTTTTTCCTGTCGCCCACACCTCCAACTAGCGCATGGAAAAACTAGCTCGTATGCTGGCTTGCCCAAATCGACGGGGCTCCGCTGTTGATTTCCTAGCGTGCCGGGGCCCTTCCTCGCCAGCCACGGCAGCAGCTTTCCTGCTCCTTCGCAGCACCCCAAGCGCCTTCCTGCTTATGTGCCGAGGGCCCGAGCGCAGCAGGTGGCAGCATGCCCATCGCGCAGGGCGGCTGGCTGCAGTGGCGAAGCAGAGGAGCGGCTCCGGGGGCTGCCGGGGGGCCACGCAGAACTTGGCGGAACTCTGAGGGTGGGGCAAAGAGTTGCTTTTACGGGCAACATGAACAGCTCCTTCTATTTTTGGAACTATCGAATGGTCATGCTAAAGCAGGACTTCCAACATGGGGCACATAGGCTGAGAACTTGGAGAAATCAGCAACGGATTCAAACAGACTCGAATTACTGTGAATCTGACCTGTGGATTCCACAGCTGACTGGTTTTTTCTCCATCATGTGGACCTTTCAAACATTTTTCTTAATTTTTTTGAGGGGGGATGTGTACAAGTCATTAATTTGCCAATATGCACTAATGTGCACTTTTGCAAGTGCGTATGTGTGACCAAACAAAATTTTCGTACAAAAATCTGATTCTCAGTGAGCGGTTGACAGCATGAAAGATACCTGACAATCTAAGAAAAATCTAAGAAAAATAGAGGGACGAGTCTTACTATCTAGTAAGACTTGTCCATCTAACCCATGGGCATAAATGTACGGTTGGACAGCTCTTTTGGTGCGCACCAGGCTCTCTACCCCTCTTGAGGTTGTTTCTCAAGATCTGTTTTGAACGTCTTTTCTTGAACTGGGAGGCTGCATATGGGACAGCGCCAGGCTTTCCTGAGCGATCCTCCCCTTCCCTGCGAGCAGAGCACAGCCAGGTCTTCTTGTGTTAAAGCTGAGCTGCTAGGCCGACCTTGTAGGGAAAAAGAAGAGTATTGCAGAAGTAATTAACAAAGAAAGCAAGCAAAGTTAGAATACTGCCCTTTACAAGGAGTGGCTTAGTGATACCAAGTTGATTCCAGATCAAATACACCCCCCCTTCCTAAGCAAAGGGAATTCTGCCTCGAAAGTGACCTGACTGATCTCCAGGGCCATTGGCCCGGGCATTCCAGCTGTGCATTCCAATCCCTCCTCCACGCCCGAATAGGAACACAAGTCCACATCTTTTGAATTATTCTGCTGCATTATATTACATCACAGCAGGAGCGAACCCAGCCGCTGCATCAGCCACCTCTGTGGGTCCCAAGCATTTGGGGCACGTGTTAGGGCTCGGGTCAGGCCCTGCTCCTCCGTGGCTCCTTTCTGCCAGCCCGACCCATTCTCCTGCTAAGGAATGAGCGTACTGTGACTGGCCAAGCCCACCATGGCAGCCATTTCACGAATGGGCAAGTTCCCTGTGAAAGCACCTGCGGCAATTGCAACGTTTCACTGGCCCAGAAAGGGAACCCCTGAGTCAAACGAACAGCCGCACTCTGCTCAGGGCCTACCCACCTCTGAACATGAGAACAAGCAACATCTCCAGGACTCTGTAAATTCTGCACAAGCAGCATTGTGGACCCGCACGCGGGGCCTTCTGGTGCACGCTCTGCACAGAGGATTCAAGGCCATCAGTTTTACTGCTTGTCGCAGGCTGTGGCATGAGACGACATTACATCAAGCCAACCTGCAGAGAGGATGTCAGAAACCACATGCTTGGGGTGGTGGGGGGAGGGTGCGCTCGAGTGCCGCACTCAGAGCACGAGGAGCAAAGGAAATGCTGTTTTTATGTGATTCCCTGCAGAGCCACCTCTCCTCCTGAGCCTGCACGAACTGGAATCCTTATGCAGTGCTGGGAAGGGACCACGTAACAGGAGGAGGGGGCAGGTTGTGGCACTTACTCTGCAGAAAGGGCAGCTTTAAGCAGGACAGGACCCGGGCAAGGGCTCAGTTGTCGTGCACCGAGTTGTCTAGCGCAAGGTGCAGCACCTCCAGGGCTGGAGAGGCAGATGCCAGTCCGCAGAAGTGCTGGTTGCTTATATGTGCCTTTGTGATCTAGAAACCAAACTGTCAGTGTCCCTGCTCCTCTTGCCCAGAAAGAAACAGAATTCTCAGCCAGGCTCTTTCCCCCTGAAGCTTTATCATCCCTCTGGCCCTTTAAGAACCTGAGCATCTCCACTCACCTGAGGTGGCTGCTACATTTAGTTGCAAAGCTAATCCCCTGTGGAATGCGGCTCCCAAGGAAAGCTACTTGAGGTCCATTCCTGCTAGCAGCAGCAACCCCTTTCCCTGCTCCTATGTTCAAGCCCACACCCAAGACCTGTGATGAGTCATGCACCTTTCTGATTTCCTGTCATCACCAATAGTTGCTGCACCATTGTTATGCCCCCTTTTCTCACATCGCTGTGACCATGAATACATTTTGTACCCATTCTTCCCTCATTATCTGCCCCATTTCTGTGTCCATTGACTAGAAAACTATAAAATACTCTGCATATGTTCTGGAAAGTTGTAGTTGGTGGGTGTACCGCTCCCCAACAGGTCTGTCTCTGCAGCAGGGTTTCCTGGATGTCCTCACCAATAAGCTGCAGAGGTTGGTAACACAGATGTCTCCCTGTGGATCTGAGCGTGCATTTTCACGGACTGCTAGTCTGGGGCTTTCTGACAGGATGCATGTCAGGGAGGATTTCCAGGTTCCCTCTGAAACTTCCTGCCCAAAGGGATTCACTTAAGCCTTAGCTGCTCTCCTTGTACGGATCCCTTTTACAGAACCTTCTGTTAATATTTAAGGGTCACTACTGATTTTGATGCCTTTAGCTGATATCCATTCTTTTAAAACCAGCCATGCTGAGGATGGTGGAAATTACAAGCTAAGACATCTGAGGCTTACCAAGTTCAGGAAGGTTGGTATAGGATTCTGTATGGTGTTTTTATTGATCCCATTATTTTAAACCTGATTTAGTAGGTCTCTGAAGGCATATGAAGAATAAATTGACTGAATAAGCAAGTACAGATCCTGGTGGATTGTGCATGTTACTTCTATAGCCAATGCTGGATCAAAAGGGTGATTGCTAAAAATACAGTGGCAGATTCTCCTTTGTGCACAAGGGGCGACAACTGTATGACTCAAAGGCGTACTAGTCAAACCTAAGTCCCACTCCACGCCATGCGGTTTATCCCTGCACAGGTGTTTTGAGAATTGCAGCCTCACGTGATCAGCAACTGTGAAAACATGCACACAAAATTGTAATTGAGATGAGGAAAGTGCATTGTGTGAACTTTCACAACCCTGAAGGACACAATCTAAGCAAAAATTGCATTACTTTCAAGCATTAAGCACTGCATCGGAGTCTCCCTTGAAGAGGCTTCCTACCTGAGCGTCTTTTCATCGGGTTAACTAATGTGGACAATTTTCGTGCATAATTACGAAGCAGGTATCCCTCCCAGCTGCCTGCGCTCTTGTCCCATTTGTCAAGTGCACAGGCCACGGGGAGCAAACCCCAAGACCTTCACCATGTATTTTTACTTATTTTCACATGCTAAAGCCAAACAAAAAGCAAGGAAGCTCCACAGCAGGGCCACGTCTGTGGCAACTTCTTCAGGGCAAGCTGCATGAAGACTCTGGCCTAGGGGTTCGCCCTCTGGTCCCCCCGGGAAAGAGGGACTGTCCAGGAGCGCTGAGGGTGGATCCTGGTTTGTGCCCGCAGGTGCCGAGGCCTGTTCTGCTTTACTTCCATGCAAACAAGGTCCACCAAAATGTGCGGCTTAACCCATTTCCGTTCCAGCAATTTATTCCTGCTGACTGAAAAAGGAACGTGGCTTTTGGCACATTGACCATGACTGCATCTTTTGTGTAGAATATGGGTTCAAAGTGTCACAAATAGTAGCGATGTTGTATGAATTTCATAAACTGCCTTGAGAAGAGCAAGGATGGGCTCAGGCCACACATACTTTTGAAGACATAAAAAAGTGTTCAATAAATAAAATAAACAAAGCCCCAACAAGCTTCGGCTCCTGCAATCCTTTGCTGTCATGAATGGCCAGCATCTGAAAGACACCACAAATAGTTGCCCATATCCTCAAACAGGTGTTCCTAACTAGCACCATCTCCAGGTTTCTGGGGGCCTTTGAGGGATGCATCTTCCACGGGGCCCCTTTCTCACCACCATTGTCCCCAGCAATGCTTCCTATTCTTCCCAGAGGGGCAGAAGACATCCTGTGCTGAACCCCAAAGTTCCAAGCAGGAATTTACAGGTGTGCATTCAAGAGTCAAGGGCCCATTCCTGCTTCCCCTTCTGGAAGAATGCAGGGGACCTTCCGGAGAGAGGGCTCTTGGGCCTGCTCCTCAAAAGGTGCCAGCACAACTACTGCACCTCTCACCGACTTTCTGTGGTTTAAAAAAGGATGGCAGAATGGTGAGAAAAGGTGGGCTACAAATGAAGGACAACGGGGTGCTCCCTCCCTCCAGCTCCAGCTCCGTGCAGGGCCTTCAGGAAGGACTCTCCTCCATCTCTGCACCAGCCACGGTTCCTGGCTGTTTCACTGCTTTCTTTGGATGGTGGCCGCTTGCCCACTGGGCTTGCTTGCATCAACTGGTTTTTTCTTCTCAGCATCACCCCTGTCTGGGCCCGAGTGAGGGGCAGAGGAACCAGCAGGTTGCCGTGGGGAAGAGAGAATTAGATCTGGGGGCTATTGCCCCACCCCGGCGTGTGGCTTCAAACATCTTTGGAAAAAGCTTGTGAAATGACAGAGGCTCTTTAAAGCCCAAACCGTCCATACAGCCCTTCGGCCCCAAGCTCATAACGGCCACTTACGGATCTCCAAAGACGGGGAAATGCACACTGCTGTCAACTTAGTTATGGTACATATGTGAGTGTGAGTGTATGAATGCATATGCAAATTTATAAATTATACTTTAAATAGAAATGCGATGCATTTTGCCCTCATATGGAAGGAAGCACCAGAGGACCTGAGTGCTGGTCTGTTCAATCTGCTGTCCAGAGGCCAACCTTAAGTGAGCCATAGAGCTGAAGGCCCTTTTTTTCGACTGGCATCAGACAGGACAGCATTTCGGAGAGAAGACACTATCAAATAAAAGATGGTTTTCTGGCAGCCCTTTGAGAGGCTGCCTTCTGAAAAAGGAAGAAAAGGAAGGAAGGAAAAGGCATTTGGTTGTCGCAGTTTCAGCCTCTTTAGTTTACTGCTCATAGTTTTGTAGCCCACCTGGAAGATGATTACATGCAAACCCCAGTTGTAAACTGACTCTTGGTAGCTTTACTTCACTGAAGCAACAGAGGGTCTTTGGGGCACCTTGAAGACTAACCATTTTATTATAGCTTGCACTTTCATGGACTGGAGCAGACTTCATCTAATAACTGCACTCCATAAAGCCTTTTTTTCAAAGTTGTGAATGGTTTGGTAATGCATGATGATAGGGGAATTTTTACTTCCTCCTTCATAGGTATTTTAATTTCAAACATAAGCTTTTAGTGCCACCCCATGGAATGTTCCAGATCACAGTCTAGTTACCACTTTCTTTCTGCTAACACTGTCTTTGCATATAAGCTCTCAGATGGGACTTCCAGCGGTGTTGGGTGAGATCCCGCCCCCCCTTTCCCCAGCATTTACTAGCCAGGCCTCATCCCTGCTCCTTCCCCAGCATCAGCTCTCTTGCATGTTGCACAGACCTGCAAAACGTGCAGCCCACCAAGACTCTGCACGTGGCTTCGCTTGGGATTCTTAAAAAACAGATTCTAAATATGCATCAGGCCTCATTCCAGCTGAATACCGAAATTCCAGTGTTCACACTTAGCTCCTTAAAGAAGAACTCCAGGCATCCAATTCTGTCTTTTTCTTTAAAAATGCAATTTCCAAGATGCATAGCAGAACCAAACCCCCCCCCCCCCATACCTGTTTGTCTGAAATAAGCCTCTTCCTGAGGGACATCTATGCCCATCAATTTCATCCAAGCATGAGAAACCAGGGCTGTGGGGAGAGGCATTTGCTGCCTTTGATACAAATCTAAACCACAGTAAGGGCATTCTCAGGTATGTTGTGAACTGAGCTGGCTTGAGCCAGGGGTCAGACTAGATGGCCCGGGAGACCCCTTCTGACTCACTCTGTTTCTATGTTTCTAAGCATCACCACTGCCAAAGTATATGTAGTTAAATTTTTAATAATGGGAGGCACCAAGATCTGGATTTGTACCTTTTGGATTTGAGTCAAAGCGGGTGGTTTCCAGCTGATCCAAGCTGAACAGGGCTGTTTTTCAAAGCACCTAATTGGGGTATACACTGAATCTTGTTGGTGCACTACATTTTAGTGTATTTAGAACTTTACACTGCCAGTGGCTTTTATTCCTCTACCTCTGCTTTTTGATGGTGCTGTTAAATTTTAAAAAGTTTTTTAAAACAATCTTATCATTTTAGGTTTTGTGCACTACCTAGAGAGCTTCAGTTATCGGGCAGTATAAAAATGCAGTATGACTGTTTAGTGATGCTGACACCTATTCACGTCCTTAACCCACTTGACTGTTAACAGTTTATGGATCTGTTGGATTCTTGGTACAAAAGCTTCGCTAGTCTTTCAAACTGTTACAACACATTTTGCCGACTGGATGGCAGTGCATGCTGACAGGTATCCCCCGGGAGTGTTTACATGCCACGTGTAAGATACTTGCAGGGATATTTGTCAAATTATTTGGAAGTTAATTCAATATTAACATGAATGCGACTACAGCAGTTCTCTGAAAGCATACCGAGTCACATAAAATAAATGCAACTGAGACACCCACCCACCAAAACACGTTTGAATGAAAATGCCCAAGAATAAGACAGCGTATGACACTCTCCTAAGGATGATTAAAAGGAATTAAATATGAAGGCTTACCTTCAACTGCACAAGCAGTTCTAGAGTTGCTCTGTTTACAGATAAATAACCAATTGCCTAACTCAGGTAACCAGCCTGAAGTTTTGATTCAAGTCTAAACCACTGTGACCAGGAGAACGGCTGTAAAAGCTAGCGCAGCTCAGCCACAGCAAAGGCAGGGGAAGGGGGATTTGGAGCACGGAAGTGCTGAGCGGGGCCCACGCAGCCCCTGCAAAGCACCTCCTGGGCACTCTCCTTGTCGAACCACTGGGCTCCCCACAGCTGAGCAAAAACTCAGAAGATGGGCTGTGAGAGCGAGCAGCAATCGGTGAGGGTTTAGTGGCCTCCCCCACGTATCCCTTCGGCACATTTAATCATGGCTGATAGCCTGCTGCAAACTGATGAAACAAACTAGGTGTGTGCGTGTGCGCACGCGCACACGAGTCCCGACATTGCACTGCAGAGTTGTCATGCAGTGTTATGTCAGGCAGCTTGGAGCACCAGTGTGGCCCAGTTGCTGTGTGTGTTGGACAGGGACTTTGGCGATCCAGGTCCCACTCTTCACGCAGCCATGAAGCCCAACGGGCAGCTCTGGACCAGGCACTCACTCAGTCTAGCCTTCCTCACAGGGTCGTTGCTTACCTTTGTTGTAAAGCTAAGGGAGCAAAGAGTGTGCAGCATAAATATGAAGTGCTGTCACTTTCACGGGCCCAGAAGTACTGCATCCTTCCCCAGAGGGCCCCCCCCCCCGCCCACTCCCTTGCCCAGCATGCTCACTGGAATCCAGCAACTTCCTCCAAGCTCGTCACTCAGCTGGGAGCGCAGAGGGCCAGCCCACCTTCTCGGGGAAGTTTCAAAAACAGAGCACCCAAACATAGCACGGTCCACTCCAAGACACAAAGATAAGCTTTTAATGTGAACCAGAACTGGCAAGAGAAGAGCATTTTACTTACATCTTTGTTACTTTGACCAAAACTCCTCAATGGCGAGAAAAAGAAGTGCTGCTAAGAATCAAAATGTTCACCTGCAAATACCGAGCATAAGAAGCTCCAACTCAGGGAGGGATTTCCAATACTTTGTACAGTGCGTGTGAAGCCCCGAGCCAGCTCCCCTTACTGGGCCCATTTCTCAAGGGGGGGCTTCCTAGGTCAGGGTGTGCCCAAATACCGCCCCACCCCTGTGCGTGCAGCTGTTGGTCTTAATCGGAATCAGGGCTGGGTCCCTCAGAGCAAACACATTTGCTTGGTTCTCCCCATCAGCAGCCACAAACATGTGAAGCAGAACACTTGGAGGACACACCCCAACTCCTTTTCTTAGCCAAGGTAGAATACAGTAGTGGCAGCAGAATGAAAAAGTTAGCCCTAAATATGCATTAAGATGAACATTAAATGTTAGCTCCTGCAATTCTGCAGTGAAGCACCCAGAAAAAAAAGAACTGCTGAGGTTGAGGGGGAAGAGAACGGACACACGGAACGGGTAAGCGAACTAGCAGTGAACTAATTAATTATACAAAGGAAAAAAGGCAAACATTCGAAGAACACTGCACACAGCTAATCTGCTGCTGCCTGTTTTCAATGATCACGTGTCCCTAATTCAGATGCTGCAAGCAGTCATTAAGATCAGTACAGCACGATGAAGATTATATTCCTTTCCCTCACGACTTTCAGGAAAGCTGTCATGGCAAGCTGCAGCCTCTCACGGCTCTCCGCAGTGCTGTCTGCTCAGCAAGCCAACCACAGGCTCCCCTCTCCCAGTAGCCTCACCATCATTCCAGGGATTGGGATGCTTGCTCACCCTGCAACAGGGTGGCCCATGCCCAGTCCTTGAGTTACACCTGCCAAAAGAGCAGAGCCGTGCCTGTTATTTCAAGAGTGGCTCTTAGCAGAACGGTTTGGAGGCGGCTCCCTCTTCAGGAAAGCGCCAGAGCATCAGCAACTGTGCACCGTAAAATCGTGACATCCAAATCAGGGTCTCTTCATCGGGGAACAAATGCTCATGCCCAGTGGATTCAGTACTTGCAACCTTCAAATTAGGACACACGAGATGCAGAGGAAGCCCAAGGATGAGAACAATATTCAAGCTGCAAAAATCCACACCAGTAAGTTGAGTGAGGGGCAAAATAATCCAAGAAACATCTATTTAAATTTTAATCGTGTACTAACTCATCAGGCTGTAAATACAACTACCGAGAAAACAAAACAAGAATACTATTGCCATATTGTACCACTGTCTCCAAACAATGTTATAAACCTAGCTGGCTGTATGAAGTTAAACCAGTTTGGCGTCTTTATATTTGCATAAGGGAAACATTAAGATGAGCTTTCCATCATTTAGAAATTGGGGGAGGGAAGGGGCACCAGCATTGCTGAGGCCTTTTATTATCTTATGAACTTATTCTGCAAATAGAAAGGCTAGTGACATTTTAAAAGTAGGCAGGCAGGGCATGAGCTTTTATGGCAAACTACGATCCCAATCGCAGGGCTAGCTTCCAGGGCAGCATTCTGCATGAACCACTAATCTGTGACAAGGACTGCCTGCGGGGTCGGTCTGTTCCTATTAAAAAGAGCCGCAGTCAATGGCAGGGAACGATTACACTACCAGCTTTGCTACCTGCAGAAACAATAGAAATTCAGAACTACAAAAGATGTGCTGTATTCAGTTAATATAAATGAGAAATTTTGCTGTGTAGAATGTTTCTCAAGAATATATACACCGCTGGAGTTCAGATCTCGCCAGCTTCCCTCTCTTCAGATCTCTTCGAGCGAGATTTGCCATTGGTGCCCTCGTGCCGTCTCTCAGAAGAGCCCTTCTCTTTCTTCTCTCTCTCCCGTGATTTCTCCCTTGAAGACCGATCTCTGGAAGATCTGAAGTACAAACCAAAGCACGCCATAAATGTTCCAGAACAAAAGGCATTCTCTATGCAAAGATGCCTGTTCAGCAATGGAAAATGGGCTTATCTGGCAATGAGACTGCCTGGCTGAATGAGAAAAGCCATTCCCCTAACTTGGTAGGCAAGGAAAATGACTAACCACTCAAATACAAGGCTGAGGTGCTATCAAAACCTGGACTTAAGGCTAGAAGGCTGTCTTCAAGTGAGCACATGGCATGCCGTCAAAACCAAGTTGCTCCATATATACAAGAACTTCAGTTACTGGTTAATGAGAAAATGCAATAGAGAGGAAAACAGGCAAATTATGACTTCCTTGCTATCACAAATGGAAAAGGTAATTCACAGTCTCCATATTTAGCCAAGAGAGCCTTGCACATAATTTGCTTTCGCATCAGATCATATCAATTCCTGCTTAAACAATGACAATCTCCCACAGCCTCAGAAGTGCCATTCAGGCATTCCATTTGGAAGGTGAGGTCCAGTCTGAGCAGTTTTGAAAAATATTCCACCCCCTTGCCTACAGCAAAGAGGCAAATGAAATTTTATGGGCACTGAATGAGCACCCGTGGGAAGACAGAATGAAGTGAATGTTACTGGACATCAGGTAGGACAAGGATCGGAATATGAAAAGCTGGCAGAAATGGCCCAGGCTCTCCCTTCAGCCAGAGAAAAACTCCCCACAACGACTGCCTGAGCTGAAACTCACAGTCAGTCTCACTGGTTTTGCTCATTTGCTTTGCTGCTCAGTCAAATTCTGATCTGTGACTTCAGCAGCCAACAGGCTACATTTCTGCCCAATTACAGAGGCTCTTCCTCTGGACCCTTCCTCCTCTGGTGGACAGAGACTGAGATTTCAGCCATTTCAGTGTTAGGCATCTCATATCTATGTGTGTTTTCATCCCACCCAAGAATGTCCTTTCAACTGCTCTCCACAGGGGCCCAGGCTGTGTTAGTAGTTAAAGAGATCCATCCTGAATTACTTCCAAATCCCCGCTTATGCGGGAACTCTCCAAGCACCACTTGGTCAATTTGGCCACCGTGCCAGTGGCAGGTTTGCTCATTTTACTCAAGAGCCCAGATTCTCTGGGTGGTTTACAGCAGCCTCAGCTCAGACGGGCCTGTGGGCAAGATATACTTGGTGGGCTCCCCCCCTTGAATGCCCCCCTTCCTTGCCACCATCACCACTGCGGGTCATGCGGCTGCTCACAAGAGAAGAACTGAGCGCAAGGTCGCTGCTGCACCCCCTCACTGCTCAGAGAGCAGGCACCCCGGAAGAGAACCAGGGCCAGGAGGCTCAGTGGGGTGCAGCAGACACCTGGGGGCCCCTCCCCACTGACTCCTCAGAATCCCTTAGGATGTGGGTCTTGGCAGGTACCCAATGCCACGAGCCTTGATCACCACGCTTCCTCACCTGAAAAACGAGACTCCTTACAGATAGCCGCTCTCACGTGGGCGGTAAGAAACTCCCCAGCTAACCAGGCCCCCGAACGTGTGAGCCCCCGCTACTTCCCAAGTCCAGCTTACCTCACTCAGTCCCTGCATGCTCTACCTGAGCTCTCTGGAAGAACAGCAGGATACAAGGTGTGACATTAAAGGATGAGGCGATTACTGCAATTGCATGCTCTAAGCACTACAGAAAAGACCCACAGGACGACACGCGACACTGGCGGACTTTTAGGCTGCTACGGGCGCGAGGGCGGAAGCGGGCACGCGTGTTCTGCAGCAAGGGCCAAATAAGGATAGCTACTCGTTGGACACAAGCTGCGAGCGACTGCGCAAGACGATCGGCAGCTTCCAGGGCAAACGGCTTCGTTTTAGTGGGGGCTCCCCCAGTGAACTTGGCCAGCAGAAACTGAGGCACTGCTTGCCCCTCCTTCCTCAGAAAAAAGCCATCTTCAAGCAGCGCTTCCATTATTCTGCCACGCTACACTGACACACTACAGCGCTGACACGTAAATGCATTAACCACAACACAAAGGTGGGAACATTCCATGTCCATGAATTCTTCAACCTTTTAACCCTCGTAAGCATAACTGCTTATCTGTCCGAAGTTGGATACAGGTTTAGAATGTCTGAATGTTGATCTTTTTTCAGTGATGACAACAAATGACAGTTGCTAGGACTGTTTGTCTGAAACCACAGAAGTCAACAGTGCCTTGTTTTCTTTTCTTTCCAGACTTCTGGTTCCTTCATATTTGTTTTGGGGTGTTTTTATATTCCAGAAAACGGCATTGATACAGTTCCTCCCCCAAGGGAACAGTCTGAGATGCACTAAGGTACATAGGAGTTTTCTGACGTATTCCCTTACCTGCTCTTTAGCAATAGTAATTACAGGGTCTTCCTCATTTCCTAATTGTCCAAACTTCTTTTCTTTATTGTTCATGTTCAAGACAGATTTAAAAAATGAATTTAGTATCTCAACCATGAGTCAAAACGTTTCCATACATCCCATTTCTTAGCAAACCTACTTTCTAATAATCATTGTTGCTGGCAAAGAAGAGGTAAAAATGCTCTTCTTTTTTCATTCGCTCATCTAGCCGGTGACATTATAAATCTGGTGGATCGGAAGAACTATGTTTTCCCAGGCTATGTGCAGTGATGCTGCGGCCAATGTGCTAGATTCAGCTGTATGGTCAGGACTCCAGGGTTTCCTCTTACGCTTCTCCCTATGACTAGAGGAACTACAAGTGGGATAACTTTTTGGAAGGAAAAACTGAAAGCCAAGCCTGGATATTCCTGGGATGGTTGTGGCTGTGCAGCATTACGCCATCCATGCGCATGTCAAGCCCACCCCAACAGCAAGTTCTGCTTTTCCACTCTGACACTTCCCTTAAACAGAGCGCAATTAAGCCAGTGTGAGACCGGTCAACGGTTACTTTCCCTCCAACTGGCGCTAGTGTCTTGGGCCTCTCCTACACAGCAATGAAAGTGCTTGCCTCTAATCAATATATGGATCGCCAACCAGTATCTTCCGTCTCCCAGAACGTTACTGGTTATTCCTCAGGTAACTAGCTCGCCTCTGAGCAGATGCAAGTGCTAAAAAGCAACAGCAAAGCTCTTGCTTGTCGGGGGCCAAGCTGGACTTATGGGTCTAGTACATGCAACAACCCATACACACAAAATGGCTTCTGAAGCTCATGGACCTTCCTAAGGACAAGATTTACCTGTCCTGCCTTGAGAGGTCACAGAAGTAAGAGAGAACAATGGCACGCCACTGTGGGCCCGCCCGTTTATGTTCTCATGTGAACAGGATCTTGAGAGGTCTTGGGCAGGCTTTGGACCAACCTTAATTTCTCTCACTCGTCAACTCTGTGTCCTGAGCTGAACTCGTTTCTCAAGACTACTCTATCAGCCAAACAGCTTTTCCCCAAGAGAATGATGGGCACAAGGGCTCGGCATACTTGTGTTTTGAACTCCGGTCTCTGGATCCCCGCCTGTGGCCTCGGCTGTGGCTGCGGGAACGGCTGCGGTGGCGCCGGTGCCTCTCTCGTTCCCGAGACTTGGAGCGGGACTTCCGTTTCTCACGGGACGCGGATCTTGAGCGTCTTCGCCTACGCTCCCGAGAACGAGACCTACGGCGAAGAAGGGCAGATGACATCAAGCTCAGCGATGGTAAAGCCCGTGGCAGGAGTCCAGCTGCCGAATCCTTCACTGCTGCTTTCGCAAGAAAAGCCCAATTCGCATTTTGGGTATTGCACAGCACATCTGCAGCTCAGCTTTCCTCCAAGGAGCTCAAGGCACCACATGCGGCTGTTTCGTTGTGCCACTCTCTCGAGCCCGACTGCTGACTAAGCCAATAAAGTGACAGGCTCCATGCCATCCGGTGAACTTCCTGACCCAGTGGGATTTGAACTGGGTCTCAAGTTCCTGGCCAAGTGCAAACCCACTTAACACCCCCAATCCTGATGGACTGGACTACAACTTCGCATACTAAAGCAAGCACACCCCGGCTTTTTAACTGTTTCCCCCTAGAAGTCTGATTATGCATCAGCCCGATGCCCTTCCTTAACTGTAATGTCAAGCAATGACTTCTGTGTGTCGAAAAGCCACCAGAGACCAGGCACTGTAACTGGGGTCACTTCAGCCAATATTTTCCGGTGGAAGTCAGTCAAACAATCCACTGAAAGCCACGCAGAGATGTACATGCCTGCACAAGCCAGCCTTAAATACGGAAAGGTGGCAACGCGCGAGAGGCCTTCTCAGTGTTAGCCCTGATTATGGAATGATCGCCCAGTGGAGCCAGATTGGCACTAATGCTGACTCCTTTTCAGTGGCAGGTTAAGACTGCCCTCTTCTCACAGGCATTCAATAGTAAGATGGGGCATTTACATCAGCTGTTTTGATGTCTGGCTTGTACCAAAACAGATTTCAGCCACTAAATTGTCCTTAAAATTCACACATTGAGCAATGTTGTGCTGCTTTTAATATATTTTTCAGCCATGTTTTCATGAATTGTTACGAACCCAGTGAGCTTCAAGCCACTGGGTGTTGCAGAAATGAAATGAGATAAAAATATTTTTGGGAAATGCTGTGATTCCCTTCTATTCAGGCAAGAATTTAAAGAGAAGGAGAATCTCATTTTAAGCAAGCCTACTTTTAAAAAACCTTATTAACAATGTTGACTTAACCCACCTTGGATACAGTAAGAGTAAGCCTACAAGGTTACAGTTACAACCTAGAAAAGGAGCTGGAGCAGGGATGTTTGAAGAATCTGCTCTGGGGAAGGGAATCCGTGCAATTCCCTGGGCTTGGCTCCCCAGACTCCAGCCTGCTGTCGTGCAGCCGTACCTCTGGCTTCCTGCTGAGCATGCCCGTCTGCACAGGTGCCAACCAAGCAGCAAGCCCACCCGGGCACTGCAGGTGGCCTCCCCTTTCTGTGCACATGGCTTGCAGGTTTGTTTGCTCTCCATGTGCTGTGGAAGATGGCTGCCGGCCATCCATGTGCTGGATGGAATGCTGGACTTCAATGTGCATTCGCAGACCTCCTCTAGGCCCGGCTTGCCAAGCATGAGAATAACCCTGGTAGGCAGGAGAGGGCTAGATTCCAGGGAGGACAGTCACAACCCTGCCCTGGAGTCTCCTCTGCTCTTGTTTAATACCCAAGTTTAGCAACTGCAGTAGGGAAAATAACACCAAAGGGCACCTTGCCCCACATCATGCAAAACAACAACTTCCCCATGAACACGTACCTTCTGCGATCTCTGTTTCTTGAGCCAGACCTAAAAGGAAGTCAGAGTATTAGTGAGTTTCACAGAAAGCAACAGAGAATTTGCTGACATGGTTACAGAAATTTTTCAACCTCAGCAGGATTGTTTGCTATAAAAGGATTTCACACACTTGAGGAAATGTCATGTAATCCCAGCAACAAGAATGAAGACAGTGGGAGGTTCTGCGGCTAGCTAAGCCGAGAATGAATTAGAAAAATGGATGTCAAACAACACTGGAGAAAGTTCGATTCATTTCTGGTCAGGCAAGGTGAGACCAACTGAGTTTTCGGAGTGTAGAACTCCGGACTATGGGTCACTTTCCCAAGTAATAACCTGCATGTTCTCAGCTCCACTTGTCCTCTTCTCCTTGGGAACTTAGGCCCTTAAGAAACAGAAATACATTTGCTCATACTAATCTACATATGTTCTAAAGTCTCCGTGTATATGCCCTTCACATATATAGAAGGGATATATAGAAAGGTGAGAGAAGGACAATCAATTCCAGGGAAAAAACCCCGAGGCAGGCGGACTTGAAGGGTGAAGCACATCTGGGAAAAAGGCCACCTCATCCAGGGGGATCACCTGTATCTGAGACCATGAGGGCTTCTGCAAATGCCCAAAGCAGGCAGGGCGGTGGAGCAGAGGGTGCCTCAGAAATCTGGGGCTTTGAAACCACCAGCCATGGTGGGCCACCTCCTTACGCCACCTCTGCCCTCCAAAATCCCACACCACACAGCGCTGCCTCACTGGCCCAAGAACAGCCATTTGTAGCCTGGTGTGCCGCACACTGCCAGGCCAGGCCAGTTCCAGTCCCAGCGTGATGCCTCACGTCCCTTCACCTATGCTGCTCTGAAGCCACGCCTCCTCCGCAGAGGCTCCTAATCCACCTGGACACCCATGATCCTTGTCTGGGGTCTTCCTCTTACTGCCACCTTCAAGGAAGGCCCAGCGAGTAGTGGCAAGGAGCGCCCCTAAAGGAACAGGGTTCCCAAAAACCTTACGGGCACCAACTCTCCTGTCCTTTTGGTGCCAGGTTAAGACTGCCTTCTACGCCAAGGCATTTATAACAGCTTTAAATCAGATACGGCAGCATTATGTTAGCCCTTTAAGAGGTCTTGTTGTTTAGCTTGTCTTAGCTACTTCAGCTGCTTACATCCTGTTTTTATTTTTTTTAACATGTTATAGTGAAATATTTCTATTGATATCTGTATTTTATGAACTGTTGCAAACTGCCCAGAAAGCCTCAGCTATTATGTGGGACAGAAATAAAACAACAACATTTCAATCAACTCACCGTTGTCCCATGCGCTCTTCTCGCTCTCTTTCTTCTCTGCGCCTCAAACGGTCCTGGTTTCTCTTCTCCTGTTTTTCTGCTACTGTTTTCTAGAATTAAGCAACAATTCTTGTTAAGTGCAGCTGTCTCCTACAATGCAGGGATTCCAAAGTTTGGCAGATAACACAAATAAACAGATGACCTCCTTAGCAAGGATGTGCCATTAAACAATTACCTAAATGCAGCAGTATCAATCTTTATTACTGGCTGGGAACATGGGAAGCACTGACGGTCATACAGGTTGTCTCAGTAAGGAATGGCCATGTGCCAAACCCGATGAACAAATTATGAATGGAATGACATGTGCCACTGCAGAAAAAGAAGTGCTGAGCAGGTGCATGTGGGTATGTGCGTGAGAAAAAAGCTCCCAAGCAAGAACAACTTCCAAGAAAGTTCCAATGTGCAAGCCAACAGAAGCTGATGCTACCACAGACCACTCCTGAAACTGTGTCCCGCACAAGCAAGTCCCACACAAGATCACCATGGAACTCCCGTTTGCGACAACAGTGCTCTTCTCCACCTACTGTCCGTTTATCTTTGTCTCGATTTCTTTCGGGAAGAAGCCACTCCTCATTACAAAGCTTTACTGTACAGTAATTCACAACGGCGTAACATTTCCACCACACATTTCAAGGGAGAAGAACACTGCAGCTAGGTCAGCTGGGACCAGCCCGCTTCCTCCCCTTCCAATGTTACTTAATGCACAACACTTAGGAGAAGTTTGGTTGTGAGAATAAAATGGACAGCAGGGAAATATAAGCTGCCTTGGATTCCTTGCAGGAAGGAGGCGGGCATAAGCTTAATAGATAAACCATAATCAAGCAAAAGTGACAATATTTCAATGACTTGAACCACTATTCCTGGTATTTAACTTCTAATCTTGATGGTTTCAGATTTAAAGACAGTATCAGCACAAAAGGAATACAAGCATATCTACTGATACTACTCTCTGGCTTAGTCAAATAGACCAAAAGACTTTAACTTCAGCTTAATAAACAAATCATAGTATTTTATTTGAGCTACTCCTGAAGCCAATTCGGTGTCAGATTAGGCTTTGATTTTAAGCTAAGGTGTGGTTCACACATGCGCTCACCTGGCAGCTGCTGGGCTGCTACAGCAGAACTGCCACTTTGCCTCATAGAATCCCAAATGCAAGGCTTTCAGCAATATCAGTTCACACTTCAGGTTGCAAATTATACAGCAATCAAGCGTAAAAAGATCAAGCCAGGCACCTACATGCACAGACTGAAGCAAAACTAGCCACTGCTTACGGGACTGACACAAGCCATAGGAAAAACGGGCAGCTGTTAGCTCACTAAAGATGCAGAAATGAAAGAACACAGGAAACTAGCTGCCTTCATGCTGTTCCTCATCCAATCCAATGCCATCTATTCTAACTAGCAGTAGCTCTCCATGGTCTTGGGAGGAAAAACATTCTTCTCCTGATCTTGCCTGAACTTTTTAACTGCAAATGCCAGGGACTGAACCAGAAAACGTCCTGATGGAAGGGACGTACTGTGCAACAGAGTTACAACCCTTACCCTCAATTGGTCCAGTTTTTCCCGGATCTGAATAAAGCCCAAATGCAATTTGCCTCCAAAGTGATCAGCAAGCCGGCGATCGTTGTCGTGGAGACCGAGATATGCAGAGCAGACCTCACAGACACGCAGCTTCTGTTGCTGAAAACTGGAGGCAGGCATTGAATTACGGTATTCTTCCTGTGGAAGAACAGAAAGAGCTTAGCATAAAATCTTTCCCAGCATGATCTTCTTCTGCTGTCATCTCTTCTCCTTAACCAATTTCTCACAAATATCTAACGAGTATTTTTATAGTTACCAGAACACTCTTTACCACAATTAACCTTCTAGAACTTCCACAGAGCCATGATCCAAGCTACAGCCCAGTTCACTAGGCAGAGATTCTGGCTTTTAGGATGTTCTCACAGCCACAAAGTTCATCATTGCTCAGAGGATGTACATAATTTATCCTCAAGCTTAGGTCAATCACGATTTACATACAACGTCACAGAAAATAATCAGACATTGCAAACAGTGGTTAAACAGCTTCTTACTGATGCTTCACTTTGGAAAAACTGACGCATTTTGCTTTGATATGGATTATGCACTTTTGCTTTCCGCTATGACCTTTGGCTGATACAGGTACATCAAAACCACACATCTGCATAGTGAGAGCGCAAAGCAAACCTCTGCTTCTTTCTTCTTTGCTCGAACTTTGTCAACTTCCATCAGTATCTTCTGGGATTCATCCACATTCCCTTCAGCTCCCAGCTGCTCAGCTTTAGCCAGAAGCTTACCAATGTCTTCATTCAGCTCATGCACCTTTTCTGCCTGGAGAAAGGAGAAAGGGTCTTTCCATAAGCAAGCTATACCTTTACCATTTTGCTTTACTGTCAGGGCACACGATGGCCTTCATTGCTTAGGGAATACTGTTTGTCAAAGCTGCCATGTACAAGATTCAAGGAAAAGGTCAGCCACTTGAAATCTACCTTCTCAAGCATGAGTGGAAAGCTGGGACACAGTAAAGGAAACCGTATTGTTCACAAACAATTTATTTAGAACTCGATGTGCTAATAAACCATGTAAGAAATCCTCAAAACTGTTCCTTTAAGACAGGCTAACACCTAGTAATATTTTATGCTACAAGCTGCATATTCCAGCTTCCTACATGAGTTTCACAGTAACCTGAAGTGAAGTGTTCCATGTTAATTGCTCAGCCACTGAACATTTCTGATACTCCTGCCCTAACACGATGGCTGAGTGCAGAGGACTAGTGGATGGCCCGGGAACACTAAATGCTTCAGTCGTGCTGAGGGGACCCGATCAGTCTGTTTAATAAAAGATCACTGAGCGTTTCATGTCACAGCAGAGCAGGATGCTAACTATTAAAAGAAAATGTCCCTAGTTCAGGAAGGAACCAGCACAGTGTTGAAATACCTTTGCAGCCACTTCGGCACTGATCTCCTCCTGGGTTTCTGCAAGTCGTTTCTTGGCCAGTTCGGTCCTTCTGTCACACTCTGCGATGAACGACTCCAAGTGATCCATTGCCTGTGCACACATGAATGGACAGAGCTGCCATCCCGTGCATTTTACTTTAAGATCCTTCCCTGAGAAAAGGCTCACCATGGACAGGTTTGTCTTGCTCACAGAACAAATAACCCTATTTCATTACTTCCTAAACAGCAATGTGGGTAAAAAAAACCCAGATGACCACATTTTTGGAGATGGACTCAGTTCTGAGATACAGAACTGGCTCCAGTGGCTGTACACACACAGCAGTAAGGCAAAGAATTCTGGCTTGAAGTTCACCAGCTCTCAGCTGGTGCACAAGGACTGTGTTCCAGTGTGGCTCTGCCTACCAGCAGGAGTAGCGCTTCCCAGGCATTCCGCACGTAACTGCATCTTCTGAACTGGAGTTCCTAGCTTCTCGTGCCCAAATTCAAACACAAATCATCAACCAAGTACAACTGCTTTGTGATTATGGCTTCTAAAGTGAAAATTCCAAGAGCTAAATTACAGATGATGCAGTACATTGGGATGCCTGGTTAGCTTAGTGGCTTCTGTTGCTGGGAGGCACAAATGGCCTACATACACGGCCATTTAGCTCATAAACAATAAGCTGGGCTTCTCTGGGATTCTAGTTCATTGTTTCCTGCAAACAAAGCTATTGAGATGGGATCCTCAGAATAAGAGGGCACAGCCACTCTCCTATGTAGGCAATTGTCTCAGGTTTCCTGCACTTGGAACTGAGAGGATGAATTTAAAGCTAAACATTGACTGCATGCCTGGCAGGTTTCGCCCTAACTTCTCTCGGACAGTGCAACTGCAATTAATTCAGGCATGCAAAGCCACAAAACTGCAATATGGTCTGAAGGCACAGTAGGCACCCATCATGTTGAAACCAAGCAGCTCTGGGACTGGTCTAAGATTGAAGGAGACATGACCTGGGAACCACATGGAGCCACCTTGAGTTCCACAATGGGAGAAAGGTGGGATAAAAATGTAATAAAGAAATACTGGAAGCAACAGCCAGTACAAATGAATAGATGATACTGCTTTAGGGGGGTGGGGAGCTCGAGGAACTTCTTAAAGCTGTTCAGTCACCAGTTACAGATTTACTCATAAAAATCAAGTGTACAATGTTAAGTTCTTATTTGATGACTACCATCTAGAGCTTCACATATTCAATAAATCACTGAATGTTTTGCAAACAGCAGCGAGATGCTTAGATAAATAAGTAGTCACAAGACTAGAAAGAATGTCAAACTTACTGTTCCCCAATCTGTTATCAATGTAACAATACCAGCAACACAAAGCACTTACGTCCAGCTCAAAGAACAGGTCCCTCTCTTTACTTGCAATCTCATAATCTGCTCTTAGTGCCAAGTCATGAATTTTCGTACATTCCCCCAGGTCCATCCGCTGTTGAAAAGGTGAAGAAAAAAAGAAAGCAAGCAATGAATCCAAGCAAGATCTTTATAGCACTGCAAGCACAATATTTAATCACCTACACAGCTGTCTGCCTCTAATCCCATATTGTATTCACTAGGGCCACACAAAAAGAGAATGAGATACAAACCAAAGTTTCTAATTCGTATTTGATGTGATGAATTCATGACCCATGAATTCGCTAAGAGGCTTTATCCAAACTCCTCTCAGGCTCAACCCTCCCACTGAAATATGGGGCTAATTAGGGCTGCTTTAAGGAACTCAATGACATGATGCAAGTGATCTGCTTTGAACACTGGAAGGTGTGTTGCTTACCAGCTTCCAGAGGGCAGCTGGATGGTTAACGTGGGAACAGAGCGTTGGAGTGCACAGGCTCCTGGTCTGATTGAGCAGGGCTCTTAATGTTATTACATTGCATTTCCATCCCACCTTTCTTCCTCTTGCAAGAAACCCAAGGTGGCTTGCATAGTCCTCTGCCACTCCATTTTATCCTTATATAAACAATCCTGGGAGGTAGGTTGGGCTAAGAGAGAGTCACACAGGGATCCTCATGGGTGAGGGGGGACTAGAAGCCAGATCTGCTGGGACCTTAGTTCAGCACTCTAACCACCACACCATACTGTCTGTTATGATGCAGTTATACAGACTGTCCCCATGCATGTTTTAAGCAGCTAGCCAAGCTACATATCGGGCGGGGCCCGTGACAGTGCTGCTTCATCACACACTGTCAACGCAAGACAGGGCACTTACCGTCCCCGCAAGAATATCATGAGGGCAACAGTCCAGGAGATGGCTCTTGCAGACCCGTTCATCTGTGAACTTCACCCTTTGTCTGGTTTCATCTCCTGAAATTCATGTTTGGTTGTAAATATGAAAAACATTAAGAATGCTGACTAAGAAAGGTAAGCCGTGGTATGTTTTATTTTGCCTCAATATGCAGATTAAAATACTTCACGAACCCCAGAACTGCCTGGAAAGCTACGAAAGCATAAATTGTGGAATATTATTTTTTCACAGCTGAGGATCAAATTAAGCACAGTACTTAATGCCACAGGCACAAATTACTATGTATGCTGCTGACCATAATTATGTCCACAGCCAAACATCTATATAAAAATATTTTTTTAAAGACCAAAAAGGGCAATCTGGATCCAGAATGAAGGCGGCTTTTTTCCTCTGGACAGAAAACAAAAGTCCAGAGAAACTAAAACCCATACTATCTGAAGGCCGTGAATCACAAGACAGACCCAGAACCAGAAATTTTAACAGGTAGCCATGTATTAATCCAGTATTTTTTGAGTTAAGTACTGCTGAATTGTACATATTAACACACAAAGACTTTCTAAAGGCCACCAGAATGTTTGGCGTTGGTCTGAAAAGTAGAATCTGTCTTATCCCTCCCCTTTCTCCACCCACAGAAAACATCGTACAATTGGGAGCCACTTAAAACAAGCAAAAACCAAAAGAAAAAAAAAGTTAGTTAATACACACTGCGAGCTCCAACACATACTATACCCATCTGCATTCTTCAAGACCTCAGCTGCAGAATTTTATGCCCGCTGTTGAAAAGTTTTAAAGGAAAAGTTTTCTTGCCCATACCTGCAGTAAGGAAGTCAGGGGAATGATACATAAAAAGTAAAGGCAAAGTGGTAATGTATGTGACAATTGTTTTTAAAAAGCTAGTCTGTGTATGACTATAGATCAGGATTTGCAAGCATCCAGGATTAATGTTGTGTCTACTGAAAATGTTTTTTTTCTTTTTCCTTCTTTTCTAAGCTACACTTTTAAAGTTACTTGTGAAAAAAGCAGCAAACACTTTTTTTTGTTATAACAGCTTTAAAAATTGGTTGTGACTCACGGCTCGATGAACATGAGGCTTTTCTGCAACTCCCTTGCAGATTGATGTAGGCAGGCAAAGATACACTGAACCTTTATAAATAAAATAGAGGGGCCACAATTGTTCAGTTTGTATGAAATAAAAATATGGGAAGCAATTCAAAAGCAACTCAAATACACAAAGAAAGAACGAGCACTTATTCACTTACGAAACAAAGTGCAAAAAGTTATCTGCAGAGTTCTGCAAATGTGCCAGGCTTTTAGTTGCCGATTCAAGTGAGGAAGCAGATACAAACCTTTTCAGGAATGCACAGCTTTTCAAGGGCAATAATATTTTCCTGCGGCACATGCTAAAGTCCTGTTTCTATGCAGAACAGGCCTACTTCCGTGTTTTTAGACACGAAGCATTACCTCTACAGGCGAGTCTACAAAAGAAAAGCCTCACCATGTAAAACCAGAGGAGTCAAGCTTTTAGCTCATCACACAGAGCTATAACTGACCAATCTGGCATTTAAAGCCTTATGTTTTAAGCAGTTTCAACGGCCTTAAGCTATATAAATTAATGTAATATGTATTCCTTGCAGATGTTTTCCAAAGAGCCCTAACAATGTACTGAATACACTGGAGATTTTATGTTACTCTGAATGACGGATGGTTCCCCTTAACACTGCACCCGTGTTTAATGATACTGAGGGACTGGATGTTACATGTAGAACACCACCACCTGCTTTGGCAGGTCTTGGGTTGGCACACCTAGAAGATGCATCGATGAAGGTGCAGGGGGACTTGGTTGTCCTGTTTAGGCACGTGTGCCTGAAGAATTTTACCACCCACATGATCATGACCAATGCCACACTGGCCAACCTGACACATGGCCAAGCTTTAAACTGGGTGGACCGGTTTGACCTTCAGCTTGTTATATTATGCTCACCACTTTTCTTTGGAAAAAATTATCTGTATTCCTAAGCAATAACTTTGGCTCAAACTAAACAACCCTCTAGCCCCAACATGCTTAGAGTGGTCACCCAATGGCTACTTGGGAAGTCCACAGGGAGGGCATGAAGGTAATACCCTTGCCTGAATGTTCCATGCACCTGAAATTTAGCAGCACAACGCCTTCTAGAGGTGAACAGCTGCTCGATGGAGGAATTAATGAAAACCACTAACAGAAGCTGCTTAATGATACTCCAGGTTTAAATCAAATTAACAGACGCTAAATCCCATCCCAGAGTTCCAGAACGATGCCGATGCCCGATTCTTAATCTGGGCAGGGGCTTCCCGCAGCAGAACCAATGTCAAAGGCTTAAGGCAGGAAACTGCGAAACAACAAAGCAAAGATTAAAAGGAGAGTGCCTCTGAGCGTATCTTGAGTACTTATCCTTCACAGATTTCAACCTCCCAGAACTTCCTTAAGGATTTAAGATTCGAGGCAAACCTGAGGTCTAGAAATGATTTTTTTAGCGGGGCGGGGCGACTGAGAGGGCGAGTATCAGCGCTATCTCTGTCAGGGGGTGGCAAAAGCTCGAAGCGCCAAGAGGGAAGCGAGAGGAGCCGGCAGAGGAAGCGAGACCCTGCTTGGGTGGGCCTGCGGCGAGGCACCGGCGCGAAGCGAAAGGCGGGAGGTGCCTCAGCCACGGCGGCGCTCCCGCCACGCCGGGCCGGAGCCGCTTCCTTCCTCCTTCTGTCCTTCCTGCAGGCCCCCGACTCGGCCGCCCCAACTCACCGTCCCGGGCCGTGCCCATCAGCTGGTCGAGCAGCGCCCGCATCTGGGCCTGGGCCGACATGGCGGCAAAGGCGAGGCGGCGGAGAGGCCCGCGTCTCCTTGGAAACCAGGGAAGGCGGCGCGGGCGACGGGAACCCGGGCCACGAGCAGCAGCGCGCCCCTCGAGCGGCCTCCTCTAGCTCCCCGGCCGTCGCAGGGCACGATGGGAAGGGCCAGGCGGCCGACGCCGCTGACGTCACTCTGCTCGCCACTTCCGCTTCCTCCTCGGGTCGGCCCGGGCACGCGGTGCGCTCCGGGAGTTGTGGTCCAATTCCGATTGGAGGCTAGCCTTGCCACGTGCCTCCAAAGAAAGCAGCTCTCCTGTCGGATTTGGACTTCAACCCCAGCATTCCTGACCGTTGGGCCTGCTGGCAGGGGCTTCTGGGAGTTGAAGTCTTTTCTTTTTTAAATCCGAGAACGCAGCTTTCGCCTTCAGGCCTGAGGTGGAGAACTTCTGGCCTTCCAGGTGGTTTAGCCTATGACTCCCACGACCCTTCTTGCCATCAGCTACGCTGCCTGGGGATGATGGGAGATATCTATTTCTTTATCAGAATACTTCTATGCGCCATATACCTGAAATGTAGAAACATAGAGACTGAGCGAGTCAGAAGGGGTCTCCCGGGCCATCTAGTCTGACCCCCAGCTCCAGCCAGCTCCACTCAGGACATGCCCACCGTGTGCATGTCCAGCCTATCTTTGAACACCCTCATTGATGGGGCCTCAGCCACCTCGTGGAAGCCCATTCCACACCCTTGGGGTCCAACTGTCAGGAAGTGCTTCCTGGCATCCAAATTGAACCTTGGTTCTCTGAGCTTTGCTCCATTGGAACACTTCCTGCCCTCCTCTGCAGGGGAGAACACCTCCGTGTGGCACCCCCAAGCGTGCCTGTATGTCGCCAACAGATCCCCTTGGAGTCTCTTCTTCTCCAGGCTGAAGAAACCCAGTTCCCTCAGTAATGTTGGGTCAGCTGTCTGTGTTGATGCTTTTATCGCTATATTGTTGTTGCCTTGTATTTCTCAAATAAAATGCTTGTTTTAAAGTCTCCCAGAAGGGCTCATATATGATCAATTGCACAGTAAGGTGTAGTGTTTAGAGGGTTTGGCCTGAGATTCAGGAGATCCGGGGTCTAGTCCCTGCTCAGCTGTGAGGCTCCTTAGGTGACTTTGGGGCAGTCCCTGACTTACCTCTGAGCTGTGAAGATAAAAACTGCCTGCCTGTGTCTTCAAGGGACCTTGCCTCCTAATGGAACCCTTATTTGTGAAAGAGGGATTGGTGGACAGGAAGAGGTAGGCATTCGATTTCAGGAAAAAAAACCCAGACAGGAAGATGCATAGCTGGTGGAGCAGCAGGAAGTGCCACACCTGTGGGCAAAAAGCCACGCGGAGTCTGGGGCAGCACACAAATGTAATAATAAATACATATTCCAGGGGAACACTTTATCCAGAGAGCCAGTGTGGTGCAGTGGTCAAGCGTGTGGGACTGGACTCTGGCAATATATAGTGGTTCGAGTCCCCGCTCAGCCATGGAGCCAACTGGGTGCCTTTGGGCCAGTCGCAGACTCTCAGCCCAGCCTACCTCACAGGGTTGTTGCGGTGTGGATAGGTTTGCAAGGAGGAGGAGAATGACGTAAAGCAAAATAAAGAAACACATGCGAGGACTCCAGAAGGCCTTCACTTCTGCAAATTCCCTCGGACAGCAGTGTGGCAGGACAGACGGCCTCCCGGAGACTGAAGCTACAGGTAAAGCTCTGGGGTCGCCCTTATCGCTGTCCCTGATGAATGGGACCTGCTGAGGTAATAATCCATAACTACTTGAGTCCCCCCCTCCATGTGCACATCTGCTGCTCTGAGGATAATGCGTGGCCAGGAGAATAGGGAAGGCTTCTTCCTCCTTTGCTCACAATGCTAGAACACAATGAGGGTCGTCCCACGAAGCTGGTGATGGGAGACACAGGGATGGTAACAGGAAGGGCTTTGCCCCACAGGGCACTGCTAAGCTACGGCTTTCGCTTCCTCAGGACGTTGCAGTGGCCACCAATTTGGACGGCTCTAAAAGGCGACCGGGCAATCCTGGAGGGCTGCCAGTATTGTCTGGCTGAAACAGGGCCCCTGTGCCATGCCTCTGAGTGGATACTTCTTGCTGGGGAACATGGGCAGGAGGGTGCTGTTGACCTCTTGCCCTGCTCCGGCCAGCAGGATGGTCACTGGGTGAACAGAATGCTAGACGAGATGCTCTCCGGGCCTTATCCTGCATCCTTAAGTTCTGCTTTCTGAGCCAGGGGAAGCGGCTGCTGGCAGAAAGGTCTGCTAGGGATCATGGGAGATGGTGGGACCCTTCAGGAAGGGTTGCTGCCTGTGCGCAGGTGTGGCAACTCATACTGGCAAGCTGGGGATGAAAACCCAGGGCGGTGCAGCTCTGCTTCCGGACAGCAGGGGGCGCCGAGGCCCGGAACCTGCACAACCTGATGGCCCCTTTCTGCAAAAGCAGCGACTTTGCGGGGGTGGGGGGGCGAGACTATTGATAAATGTACGAATCACCTTTCAGCCCACAGAGTCCCCAGACTGACTTACAATTAATCATAAAGCAATTTCAAAATCTGTACAATTCTTAAAACCTTTAAAGACATTTAAAAGCAGTTTTATGGTGAAAAGACTAACAAGTTCATTATGATGTTAACTTTAATGAACTGTCTATTATGCAGTTCATTAGACTTTTATCTCCAGTTGATATCTATCTATCTATCTATCTATCTATCTATCTATCATCTCCTTTGAAATCCGTAGTAGCAAAGACTATGGACTCTGACGTTTTTCTCACTAATTTCTGCATATTTATTTTATTCTAGTCCACCTTATGCCATTGAATGGCTCTTCAGGTGTCTATCAAACCGCAACATAAAAACAAAGACATTAGACATTAAACACAACACTAAAAACAAATGAAGAGCACTGGTAAAAAGCTCCCTTTGGCAAAGACCAACTTACATAGCCAAAGCCTACCTGACTACAACGTCTTTGCTAGCACAGTGGGGGTCCACCTGGCTTCCTTCCAGAGCCACGGAGAGGCCACCAAGAAGGGCCTCTGCTGCGTCCTCACTGCATGTACCTCTGACGGGTGTCATACCAGGAGAGGGGCCTCCTCCAGAGGTCCTGGAACCCCAGCGAGCACCTATGGGAGGAGTCAGTCTTTCAGAAGAGTGAAAGATTAAGGTCTGGCAGAAGAGACACCTATTTATCTCCCTCCTAAAGGTGAAAGACCAACTCTCCTGGCAGACCATCCCACAGCTTAGGGGCAACCACTGAGAAAGTTCTCTGGGTAGCTGACCTTAATCTTGCGGGAGCAGAGTCCCGAAGATTATCCCCAGAGGAGCTTAGCTGGTGGGGTGGAAGGTGTGGGCAAAGGTGCTTCTGCAGGTATTTTGGACCCAAGCCCTGAAGGGCTTCAGAGGTAATTGTCAGCATCTGGAACTGTATCCGGAAATGCACTGGCAACCAGACTTTCAGATAGGTGGTACGTGGTCTCCACGTGACGCCCCGGAGAGCAGCCTGGCTGCCATGCTTCGTCCTGGTTGCAGTTTCCGGACTAGGCACCAGGTTAGCCCTGTGTGGAGCACACCGTAGAACCAGGCCTGCAAGTTACCGGTGCATCTGCGACTGTTTTCAGGTCATTCTCCTCCAGGAAGGGACGCAGTTGACGAAGCGGCCGAAGCTGACAGCTGACACTCTTGACACGGCTTCTGTCTGAACTGACATCTGAGGGGCCAAGTCAAGTAGCACCCCCAGATTGTGAGCAGGGTCTTTCACAAGGAGTGCAAGAACAGACAACGGCTGGACCCGCCTGTGAAGGAGGCAGGATGGTCCCATTCAGAAACACCCCCAGTGGGCAGTGTATGTTCTAATCTGGTGGGTGGTCTGTCCATCTTATATATTTCATTGGTGGGTTTTTTAAACTGATGTGTTTTTAAATCTTGATTATAATCCCATGATTTATGGCTTGGATTGACATTGAGTCTTGCTTAGAGTAGACTTACTGCAATTGGTGAAGCTTCAGTTTGTCCGGAAGAGGTTGACCAGTTGCTTGGAGAGCAGAGACTTCCTGCTTGCTCCTGGGTTTCCTTCCTTCTGGTAAATAAAGTCTGCCAAGGCCAAGTGTGAAATATGGACTTCAAAAGGTCCTACACACCTGTTTTGTTCAGGAATGGTGCTGTTCCTGCCACCACATGGAGGCGGCAGCAAAGTTCCTATTGAAGAAGCTGCGTTCAGATTGGTTGGCTCTGGAAAGGTACCTGCTCGTGTAAATGGTATCTCACTTAAACAAAATGCCTGTTTCCCTGTCAGGGTATGTTCCTTCCTAAAGTGGCTTGCGAATGGACTGGCAAAACAACAACGAGGAGGCTGCTTTTAGGACCGCCGCGTCACTCTCATTTGCAAATGCAACCACTGCAAGAAAATCGCTCCGAAGCATCATTCTGGAGCAGAAGCAAGTTTAGGGCTCTTCTAAAGGGAGGCAAAGAGGGGCTCTGCATATCTTCCTTGCAGGAGGTGTCCCACAGATGGGGAGTGCCACAGACAAGGCTCTGCCCCTTGTACTCAGCATAGTAATAGTCCTCAGTAATACACTGCCTTGGGAGGGCAATTGCTGTGGTTTAGAGACCTAGAAATAAAGAAGGGGCAGCTGGATTTCCAAGGATAACTACTTTATAGCCTCACACAGTCTGTCTGGGGCTGCATATCCTGTACTGGTATAAAGGAACAGATATTTTAAACGTGCCATTTCCAGAGTAAAACAATGGCCTTGAAATGAATTGGGGGGGGGGGGGGGGAACCTTTCCTCCAAGCAACCCCCCCCCCCCCCGGCCCACGAGCCTGATCCCCGGGCACGGTGACTCCTCTCCCTCCGATCCCGGTGAATACAAGCCCGTGGGACGCTGCAGCCTGACGCTCCTTCCAATGGGCAGGCGCCAGCCGAGTGCTCGCGGGGTTAATGGCTGCGGCAGTATCAGTGCAGCTTGTTTGGAGTGCGAGCGTATTGGAGGTATTGATTTTTCCTGCATGGAGACCAGGAAGAGGGGCCAGAATCCTCCCAGAGGGGCCTTGCCAGAGGCAACCTCACCGCTGCCTCCAAGCCAGTGGGTGATAAGCCCTGGTCGCCTGGGCAGAAAGGCCA